AATTTCCTAATTTATTTTGTCAAATAAGATTGAGATTTATTAACCTGAAATTGTTAAACTTTGCACTGGTCAATTGTTTGTTGTATAAGTCTATGTCCCTCATTCTTTGTACTTGATTTTTTAAATCATCAATATGAATTTGGAGAAGCTGATCAAACCCCACAAGACGGTAATTTTTCAAAGGAAATGAGTCCATGCGGAGTAATCTTTTAAGAATCATAGAATGTGGGCAGTATAATATCAATAAAAGTATAACAAACTGGAAGGCCATAATCAAACATTCAATCTATTAGTCGGTGAAGTATCCCACCCTCTGCCAGCCCTGGTGGATTATAGTAGAGGCACAAAGTTATGTAACACCCTGGATGAAGGCGTGTGGCTGTTCGAGGCAGTGTGGAGCGATGTCAGCCTGGATTTACACATAACAAGTCATTCTGATATAAGGGAGAGGACATGGAATGACAAGACAGCTAGCTTTTATCATCTTTATTTTATTTTTACTAATTGCAAATTCTTTGATGTGGAAAGTATCTCACTAGAAAACATCATCACATTATGCTTCCATTTAGATTCTCAGCAGTAGTATCAGCCAGGCTGCCCACACTGGAGATGTAACCAGTGCCGGATTTAGGACTTGTGGAGCTCCATGGGCAGCCTTTGTGGAGGCCTTCATTATAAACACCCCAAGAGGGTAAAAGTATGAAGCGACCCAAACATCTGGGAGTTCCAAATACCAAGCCTTGAAAATTAAAATTGAACATTGGTAATTATGTCATGCAGTTATATTGAGAGTACCAGAAACATTAGAGAAATTTTAATCACCGTAGATGATGAGGTGTGTACTGAAACACACACACACACTCTCAGTAAGCAATTCAATGAATTTTAAAGAATGAAAACAAAAAAATAAACAAAATAAAATATTGTAATATGAGGCCCTCAGATTGTGGAGGCCCCTGGCAAACAATTTCGTTCAGCCTCCCAATCCATGGGCCCTGATGTAACTTCTGGTTTTTTTCTATATTAAAATATTATTGTTGTTTTTTTTGTCGTATATTAAAAAGTGTTGTTAATGCCTCACATTGATTTCTGGACGGACTGTTACTGACTGGACAGACCAGAATGCAACAACGTCTTCTTAAATGATGCAACAGCACTTTTTCAAAATTAGTTAAAGATGTTCAGAGTTCGTCGGTCACATAACATGATTTGAATGTCTCACTCTTCCTGTAGATACCTGGATATCGACTGATATCTATAACGTTCAAGGGAAGATACAAAAACACAAGTACCAAATTCTCATGGAAATATGTATGTAGTTTATCAGAGAGCTTATTTTAGCCCACTCAAGTACAGTAACCGACCCACATCAGGGCCTGGGGGGCAAAAAATATAACACTACTACTATCATTACTACAATGTACTCTCCAGCTTCCCCTGTATGAAATGCCACACCTTCGCCATACCATTTATTTACCTTACATAAACATCTCAATATATAAGAAGCTATCTCTATCTAAAAGCATAAATGAAGAGCCATAAGATTCATATGCGGGTATTCAGTGACTGTAGCCTCATAAATATCTGGCAGTTAGTCGGAGTAGGGCAGAAGCCTTCAGTTCTATGCAGAGCAAAGCTGACCAAAGAGAGAGAGAAGGAGCAAATTAGACATCTCATCCGCAGCTGTATAGAGTAACTTCAGCTGCTGCTGTTCGAGACTGCCATGAATGATGGTGAACATCTCCACTAAATAGGGCCCATCCCCACCCGGAGGTTGTGAACACTAGAGGAGATGCAAAGCCGTTTTGATCAACATTTTAATTCTCCCATATGCCCCTCTTCGTTCTTGTTCTTCCGGCAATTATATTAAAATAAGTGACAACCCGCCATAATCCTGATGCTGTCCCTGAATCCCTCAGAGCACTTTGACGTCCACGGGCTTCTGGAAGTTGATGGCTGGAAGCCCCAAAGGAAGATCTGCCATCCGGTGAGGCCTGTTCCACCGTATGACGTCCCGGCAGATTTCTTCAATTAAGGTCATAAGCGAGATCCTCACTGGTCATGCCTCATGGCGGCGAAGCCCTTTGCAGAGACCATGGCGTGATCGGAAGACACGGGCCAGGGCAAAACCATTCGTCAACCGTACCTCCTTAGAGCAATGGCATCTGTAAATTTAGCCACGAAAGGGCAATGTTCATTTGCCCTTATCGGCATCGTAGTTAACCAGTTCGAGGCGCTCACCGTGCCAGCAGCTGCACCTCGAACCTGGCAAAGCAACTAAGGCTTAACAAAGAAAACAGCGGAGAAACGATACACATGGCGGCAGCAGGTTAAGAAAAGAGACACCACTGTGCGTAAAAATGAGGCAGAACAGCCTGTAGCAACCTGTATCATCGCACCCGGTGATGACTCCAGGTCTTTGCAGTCATTTATCCATTCTGCATCTTGCAACGGCCATGATGCCTCGCTTCGACGATCAAACACCAACCATAATTGAAGTTATACTGTCCCGTGACCAGACGTATGCCACCGAGGTCACTGACGACGTAATATGCCGACAACAGTGATGTCATCGCCGTATCGCAAAACGCGGTGAATTAATTCACTTCGGCCATTCCCCGAAGGCTTCTTCCGTTCATCGCCCATGATCAGCGTCATCAAAAAGTTTCCTCATAAAATTTCAATGTGCGAAAAGCAGCTGACCAGCGCAATGATTCCCGCGTTTTCTCGACGAGGTTTTTTTTCATGTACGACATAATCATGTCCGAACCAACCATTTTCATGATAATTTTATCTTGTTGAATGAAGACAGAATGCAATTACTGCTAGCTAGGAGTTGTACAGAAGATATATCTCACCACCGAGGTTTGAAGCGTACCGCAGTCTGTGTTGTCTAGTAGCCACCACGTGCGAGCATTATAGGGATTATGTCGAGGTGCTGGTTATTGGCCTGAAGAGCGCAGGTAAATCAAACCAAATGACAAGATATAACCCTTTGTTGATGTTGTAAAATTAAAAGGTGTTTTAGTGGAAAAGCAAAACGGCGAATCAGGAAGCTAGCAAATCAAGAGCCTTAACGGATTGATGCATAAGAGAGACTTTCCTGAGATTGTGAGGTCAAGCCAGAGTTGTGCCATTTATGGGGACTGTTTCAGAGGATTATGGGTCTGAAAACAAATATCGACGCAAAATGAGATGTGTTACATCCAAATCGAGGATATCAGAATCTCCGATCCGTCGTCACTAGTACGCAGACCTCCCAAGTAGAGATACTGGCACCACATCAAACTGGCTCATAGAAGACGTTGGTCAAAATGATGCTCAAACTGCGAGAGCTGTATTTAAAAAATTCTCTTACCCTCATTCAAAGACAAAATAGGTCGTATGAAACGTTGAGAATATAGTTCTTAACAAGAACTTTATGGAGGACACGGGCGGTGCTGCGCCACGAGATATGCGCGGAGCTGAGAGCCATACATATTGGTGGGCACCAGTGAATGAACCACAGCCGTCGCGTCCTCCTCCGAGGCCCACTCATTTGGTTACATGCTATCGGAAAATCAACGATCATTGGTATTTCTGGAAAAAATCAAGAGAAACGAAGATAATGAAATTGTTTAGATTTTAATATACGTGATGAATTAAGGGTGATAATGTTAATTTTTAAATTTTAAGATTAAGAGTCAATGAATGAATGCTTTTAGTGAATCGTTGTTTACACGTTTGTAACGAAGTGTAAAATTTAATACATGTAATTGCTTAATGATTACATATACTGTATACATTTTAACGTAATCCTGCTAAAATGTAAGTTTTGATAGCTGGTGACAAAAGTGAAAGTGGCAAGCCTCAACTGGCTATGAGATGACGGGCAATGAACTTCAATATTGGTGACTCAATACTCAGGAAATTTATGGCATATCAAGTCTTAATTTTATACGGCCATCGCCCTGCCCAATGAACTAGATAGGTATCTGATGATCTTAGGAAGTGAAATTGGGTCCTAGAGGCATAACTCTGTTAGTGACTGTGTGGATGTGCATTAACAGGCGACAGGCGACTCAATGACCGCCTTCATTACTAACTAAAGTTCACACATACTATGAACTGCACAGGATCGAACCAGCGACTCTATAAAGATGAGATGTTTCCAGTCAGCTTCTACGCTCCTTGCTGGGCCCCATTAAATAAAAAAAAATAAAGGTGACATGATCAGACACGTCCAAAAAGCGGAACACACACGAGCAAGTATATAAAATACAATACTCTGAAAACATCTAGAAATTTTGATATCCCGCTTGATATATTTTTGTACAAATATTGGTGAGGTATAGACTGTACACAAATTCCTTTAGTCAGATAAAAATAAATTTACAACGGTACTTAATTTTATAGAATTCAACATATTTGGATTAAAGATAAAACACCGCCTCCCAGGACGGAAATTAACGGGATTCATCATTCATTTGGGAGACGATTTCACCCGAAAACCGAAATACAGTCTGAATGTCTGAAGGATCTAGAGATTAAATTTGAGTCTGCATAACTTTAACTTCCTGACTATCATATATATATATATATATATATATATATATATATAATCAGATTCTTCAAAGGTCTGCTGATGCTGATTTGATTATTTGCCGATTTGATTACCAAGTTTACCTGATGGTCAGCCTATCTAGTGTGGCTTGTAATAGTAGAGATATGTATCAACTTGATAATAACGATGTACTCTTCTCAAGGTAGATAAGAGTGAGGTAAGCGTGGGATTACGGCAGATAGGACAGAAGGCACTTTGAGATATAGAGAAGAGGCTTCAGACAAGATAACAGCTGAGTACGAACATCACCATCACAGGGACAAGGTGAAGCTGGAGACACCCGGAAATTACCATGGCGAAAGAATTTGACGAAATCCTGGAGAGTGTTGGGTCCTACGGCTACTACCAGAAGTGGATGATATTAATTTTCTTCATGCCAATATCATTCTTTGTTGGATTTACAGTGAGTGTTTAGTTCTTGGGTAATGCATAAGAAGAAAGCCCTAAAAATATACCTTGGTGTCGTAAGGTGCCTCAAATGGTGGTCTACTGTACGTTTAGATGCACTGTCACCACAAAATTAATTTTTTAAACAAATGTGCACGAACTCGCGTAGATGATAAAATATACACAGCCACCTACAACATTTAATGTGTGGCAAGGTGGGGGCACGAAAATGATGATAACAAACAGATAGGTAACATACACTTATAGATTTAGCAATTTACGTACAGGTAGAATTGCTAGAAATTTTATCGAATAAGCGGAAGAAAGTGAATCAAAGATTTGGTAAGAAATGAAAAGTGTTAATTGGGAGATAATGAATTATAGTGAAACACAAACTGTATGTAAAAATAATGAATTTTAGGCATGTGAGCTGCAGAATATCAACTATAAGTCAAGTACTATTAAAAATTGATATATGGATCTTGTCTTGGTAACGAAGATGAAGTTACTTAAATAAAAAAAAGTTATGAATATCTTTAGGAAATAAGTTTTAAACGAAATAGTAAACGTGTGTACAGATGCCTAAAGAGTGAAGGGGGGGTTTAAGATGTGGCAATAAAACTCAGGAGTCCCAGGTGAAACAGTGGTACTGGAGGTGATAATTATAGGACGGAGGCAACTGTGATCATTAGTGTATCATATTTATCTTCTCGACACAAAATTATACTTGTGTCCAGAACGCAGGGAGAGGAAAGTTAATAAGAAAAAGAAAAAGAAAAATCATTGGTGATTTATCTTCTAGGAGTATACTGTATATAACAGGTATGGCATAAGAGAGGCAGGGACTCTGTAATCATGTGACAGAAGATTGTAAATTAAGGATGTGGCCAAGTTCCACTGAGCCTAACATGTCCCTTACAGACATAGGGGATAAAAATGGTAGGTTGAAAAATGAAAGAATATGACGAGACATTCCGAAAAAACTGAGTAAACAGTTAAGTGATGTTGACAACTATACACCATGTTGTGGTAGGCAGCTGTGTGGTGGTGGACCCGAAGGGGGAATGCTGAAGCCCGCAGCCGGCAGAGGATGTGAGAGTTAACATCAAGTACACCAACTGTTGATATGAGAGTGAGTTGCAACACCACCACCCTCATACGCGACACATTTCATAAACCGGAAACATCATAAACGGTTCTTAAATGTGTCAGACCAAGATATGACTGGTGTTTCAAGTTGCATATACTGTAGATTATTATAATATTATTAATTACAACAATAATAATAATAATAATAATAATAATAATAATAATAATAATAATAATAATAATAATAATAATAATAATAATAATAATAATAATAATAATAATAATAATAATAATAATAATAATTATTATTATTATTATTATTATTATTATTATTATTATACAGATATCCGTGAGACACTAAGGAAATGGAAAATTGTTCAATGATCACATTCCTCAGTTTAAAATAGAGTAACTTTGAGCCAGTCGTGTTAGTGTTTTCTTAAAATGCAAAGTAATGCTCATTATTCAAAAGAAATTTATTTATTTTCTGCTGCTAAAAGATACTAAAAAATGCCCTTAAATATATTTCGACGATATGGTAAACAACTCTGAGATCAGAGGAGTATGGAATTAGGGAAAGGGGAACTTAAGCTATAGTCGTCCTTCAGTAATATTTATGTTCCCTCTCGAGCACAGATGAACCTAATGTTGTTCCAAGTGGTGGTGCCGGATCACTGGTGTTACGTCCCAGGACGAGAGAACACTACACTCTCCCCCAAGGAGTGGAGGGCCCTCACATTGCCCAGGTAAGTCTCATCTGGTACACACACATGGTAATACCTAAGGTTTCAATCAAGTATTACATAGGGAAGAAAGGTTTAGATACAGAACTGGTGAGGTCGTAGGCAGAAATGGATGGAGGGACGGAGACAGATATGTTTTTATGCTCCGGCGCTCCGTCTACAGGGAAGGTGTCCAAAGAAGATTATGTGTAGGGGCTTCATGCAGGAGCAAATTCAATGGGGAGTAGTGGCACCTGACGTGTGAAACAGCAACTATTGTAGATCGCGCTGCTGGCCCTGGCTGGCAATAATATCACTCGTGTTCTTCTTAACAGACTCCATCCTGGGGCAGAAAACTTCCTTACAGTTAATGTGCTGGTTTAGACCGACGGCACATCTAACGTGGTATTTGCTGCCCATCAGATACAGAAGTGCAGCGACCACCCATTCATGTCTTACACTAGAAAAAATTAAAATACATTTTTGAAAAACAATATCAGACAAAATCCCAAATGCAGTTAATGATTCAATGGCATAAAGAATTACTCTTATAGACACAAAAAACAACAAAAATATATAAATTTGAAGGCAAAAAAAAACTGAAAAGTTATGAATTTTAAATAACATTTATAATTATAATGCAACCATTAAATTTTCTTAAACATACTTGTCATGAGTTCTAGACCACAGAGGTTGAGCACAGTAATTGATTACACATATATAATTCCTGAATATATATATATACTGTACAGTATTAAATATAAATTGATATCAGTGAAATTAGTAAAATGTTTGAATTATAACCATATCCAAAACATAAACAAATAAATAAAGGCACAAAGCATAACTGTAAATATATTTTCAAAACATCCCAAAAAATATAAATACATAAAAGACTTTCTTAGGAACTATAACTTGCATACGAAAATAAAAATGTGTTCTGTCCCAGGGCGGTCATCTCGTAATTTACGTAACTGTTTTCATATCAACTTTTACTAAGTTTTCAGATAAATAATTATCGGTTTTGTATTTTTTTCAGACTATAATTTTTACATTAATTTCCACATAAGTTTCAAAATAAAATCACTCATACGGTTCCACCTGTTACAGTGGTTGGCGCATTTTTTGAGATGTGGCAGATCTGTCTTTGTTTACATAATATTAAAATTCCAGAAATGGCCCTAAGGAACCTCACAATAATAGCCATCTCGGAATGCAAACATTTCTCGCATGGTTATAGTTTAAATACAGGTTGCAAAATAAAACGTCATTGGCTCCTATCTGCTACTCTAAGCTACTGATACCAAATTCGGTGTCTGTATGACTCACCCATGATGGCTCTGGAGAAAATACAGTATAGTATGCGAAGACCAATTCTGCCACCACCACATAGTTAGTTAGGATTAATACTTATTAGGCGTCGTTTTATTAATCTTGAATAAAACGGTATATTTTAACATACAACAATTATAAATGACAAAGGCCAGGTACCACGAGACTGGGTCATCTCGTCACTCAAATCTTTATGGTGTTTCTGTAATTTCAACAGTTCCGGCTTGTTTTACAGAGCCATCGAGTCCGAGAAGTATTCAAGCTGTTTGATGTACAAAGGGGAGTGGAGTGAGGACGACGGGGCGAACTACACCGTCACCAACGAGACACAAGGTGAGTGGCTAGTACACCTTAAATGCTTTTAAACTGTAGTGCACCATTAAAATTTAGATAATGGTGATGTATAAATAACATCCTGTAATGTTCTTCATTTATAACTTGTATTTACACTGTGTCAGACTACTACATGGTCTCCAACACAATAACGAGTCAGTCTTGTTCTAACTTAAATGAATTGTATTAGTAGAGGTACTGTACTGTATAAATAGATAACCCACCAGTGACGTAGAAAGAGTTGAGTGCAAGTACGAAACACTACAAATTTATAAGCAAAGTTGTTTGAGTCTTAGTTAACTGGTCACGTGTCAGTTTCAGTGACAACGAAAAAAAAAAGAAGAAAAGCAGGAACTGTGAGCCTCGTTATTCCAGAAACGGATTACGACCACGGGAGGGTAGCAAGGGTGGGTGGGTGAGACACGTGTAGTCAGCCTTCGCCGACTACAAGTAAGAAATAGAGAAGGGAGTGATATTCACGTCATTTGGTAACATTATATATATATATATATATATATATATATATATATATATATATATATATATATATATATATATATATATCTCCCGTGCTGTTTATGTGGATGTCAGTAGCATTTTACCGAATCTAGCTGGTATGAAACACGCGGTACCATGTAGTATACTTCATTTTTAGTCCATATAACATAGGTCGAGGGTTCGAGTCCTGGCTGGTGAGGTCGTTGATTTTATATATATATATATATATATATATATATATATATATATATATATATATATATATATATATATATATATATATATATATATATATTTCAGAATTTGTAATAAATTATTGGTTTGGGATTGCATTGGATTTCAATTATTTTGTGGACATTATTAAGAGTATTTTGTTGATATTGTTCAGCTATGTAATAAACACCAGGGGGGAAGGATCTTTTGATAAATGGCGCGATATAAGGTGTGACTGTGCACTCAATCTAAGCTGGGCCAGCGCGGACACCAACAACAAGGGTTAATCACTTACCTATAGCTTCAGGTAGGTGAGCGTGTGGCTCAACAAGAGCTTAAAAATAAAGGCTTATAATAAAATGATAAGTGTAGTTGTCTTATTGTATCATGTTATACTGTAATAAATGATGTACAGTGTGAAGAATATAACTATTACCGCAGAGTGTATCAGTGGGTGGCAGCACGACCTATCACAATTCACCACCACTTTGTCTACTGCATATGAGTGGGTGTGTGAGCGGGAGATATACTCCCAACACGTCCTCTCCATCACGATGGCTGGCAACACTGTGGGCACATTCCTCTTCCCGCTCCTTGCTGACAAATAGTGAGGCTTTTAATATCATCAATTATCTGTAAGATGAGTGATAAATGTAATTTTTAACTGATCTTTCATATTTTTGTTAGATCACTGTACGGTAGTTAGTATGGCTCTATAACACTAGTTTTAAGGACAATAGTATACTAATACTACTACTACTACTACTACTACTACTACTACTTTTTTATTTTTTTAATAAAATACGTGGCCTCCAGCCTCCCCAAATAGCCACACCTTCGCCACCATTTATTTACCTTAATATTAAATATCCTAATACATAATAAGCTATCCTATCTGTGTTAAATTAGTTGAGCCGCAGATCTATGCGGCATTCAGTGCCTGTAGCCTCATAGTACTACTACTACTACTACTACTACTACTAATAATAATAATTCATGATGACGATACTAATATTGATTCACAATTATCATTATAAGTAATAATTACTATCGTACCACTAATATTATCATTGTCACTACTACTACTATTATTACTCTTACTATTACCCATAATAATTTCCACAACAACACACATAGAGTGGTGGTACTGACGTCACTGTTATGGACATCCTCACCCTTCACACGAATTATCAACTGTATTAGTGTTTTCACATCCACAATCACTAGTTGTGGCTTAGATAAGATTAATCTCTTTAGGTATATTGATCAGTACCCCACTCTGATGTACTAAAGCAATTCAACCTTAATATTATTACATTCATAATATTACACTGAAGGTATAAAAGAATATGGATATGTATAAATATTTTCTAAAGGTTGGATATGGGACCGATGTCTTGATCATCTTCCTCCCCAGTGAAAGAGATTGAAACAGGTCCCATAGGGTAGTGTGGATATAGCGCACTGAATACCACGCTTTCGTCAGCTACGCATTGTATTTGACCACCTTCACTTTTCCAGCTGCAAAGTTAGGTAACCATTTTCAGCAAGGTGGACTGGAGGTGCCCTGGATATGAATGAATGACCCGTAGGAGAGATTACTGTACTTTTACCTGTATCTAAATAAGTGAGTAGTCCAGATCAGTGTGTCTCAGACTCAGAACTGTACCGCGGCGAGGTAAGGTCTTCTCTGCTCCCGAGGTACTACGTGAACCTGACGATGAGGCTGATCTGTGACCAGGCGAAGGACGTAAGACTGTATCCAGTCACATGCCCTTCGCGCAAGCAACTAAACCTTGTTCTAAGGAAGTTTTTTGACTCCTTGGGAATCAGGGGGGTGACAAGGGTCGTCCGCAGACCAGTGAGTGGTGGCCTAATCGTCACCTTCGCGGAATGGGGACAGGCCAAGCAAATAGCCAACATAACAGAAATTAATGGGATCAAGATATTAGTGGAAGCTAACACAGAGGATAACTTGGTGTTGGGAGTTATCTCCCACACCGAGATAGAACACCTTTAAAAAGAAGAACTGGCCGAGCTGATCGGAGACCAGCTCTCAATAGTACGGAAGCTGACCAGCATAACTGCACTGGTTGGTTACCCAAAGAATCTACCAAGCACCGTATTGCTGGGATGGGAGAACATCCCATTAAGACCGTATGAAAGAAGACCAACAATGTGTTACAGATACCAGACGTATGGCCATCTGGCAGGGAAGTGTCGAGATCGGGAGTCTGTTGCAGTTGCGGGACACCTGGGCACCAGCACACCATCTGCTCGGCGGCCGCCAAGAAATGCGCAGCTTGTGGTGGCCCTCACTCCTCCTCCGACCGTGAGTGTCCCAAGTGGAGAGAGGAGTGTATGTAGGTTGGCTAAGCTGCGAAGCAAGAAAAAACTGAGCTACAAGGAAGCTCTCCTTGTAGTGAAGACCGAAGAAAAGAAGAATTAAGACTCCAACAAGGCAACAGAAAAGAAAAATCAAGACCCCAAGAAGACCACAGAAAAGAAGCCAGAATTAAACCCACATGAATATGACCTATATATACTGTTAATGAATATGATCTATTCCTTTGTGTATGAACCACTGTCCTGCGTGGCATTGAGAAGTGCACCTTCAGTGTCAAGACCTGACTGAATTATTCAGAATAGACAAACTGTACTCCAAGCTTTGTCAATAAATTTGTTAAACTAAAAACCCTAACAAAATTGAAGAAAAGACAAAAAAGCCAGATTTAATAACATTAAAATCATCAGCGTTTTTAGACTTTTACGAGAATATACCAGAACAAGACCAAGAAGAAGAAGAATGGAAATTGAAAAGCAAAAAGAACAAAAGGAAGAAGTCCAAAGAAAACGACCCAGAAAAAATTAACACCCTTAACTATTCTCGGGTTAAATTAATTTATTCATCGTGCCTTTCCCTTTGTTTATGATTGTTTGTAAAGGAAAAATACAAATTATATTCTTTATGCATTCATCAGTCCGTTTGTATATCGAGTATCTTAACACTGAAACACAACGGTGGGTGAATTATTTAAACAAGCATTGCAACAAAAATTGTGACCAAGTCCCAGGTTGCTGAGCTGACTTCTGCCTCATTTACACACAATTACAGGGTTTCAATTGTTTCTCTTTAACAACACAACATACGTAATGTACATCGTTTCTCATTTTTTATTTATTTTTTCCCTTTTGTATTTATTATTTTTATTATTATTATTTTTATTATTTTATTTTTATTTTTATTATTTTGTTATTGTTTTTTATTAATAATTATAATACTGATTATTATTATTATTATTATTATTATTATTATTATTATTATTATTATTATTATTATTATTATTATTACTATTACTATTACTATTACTATTACTATTACTATTACTATTATTATTATTATTATTATTATTATTATTATTATTATTATTATTATTATTATTATTATTATTATTATTATTATTATTATTATTATTATTATTATTATTATTATTATTATTATTACATTTTCGCCCCCAGACCCTGATCTGTGTCAGTGCCCTGTGCCCGTAAAAAAGAAAAAAAAAGTCGAAAGACGACTGACAGACCTGAGCATGATAGACCCATCAGGCATAACCCTTATGTACTACACTGACTACAGTATTCCCAATAAGCGTGAATTCGGATGCTGATACTTATATTAATATTTATGGTTAGGTGAGACTGCCTGACCCACTGTGGGACGTGGGGTGACTAACTCACTGAAGCCCAATGCGTGGGTGTTAGTGCATGACTCACTGATGCCTAGTAGCTGGATGTGAATGACTGACCCACTGAAACCTAATAGGTGGATGTGAATGATTGGCTCACTGAAGCCTAATAGGTGGATGTGGGATGACTGGTTCACTGAAGCCTAATAGGTGGATGTGGGATGACTGGTTCACTGAAGCCTAATGAGTGTTCGTGCTTCACTTATTCCTCTCACTGAAATATGTTTGTACCTGGCAGTTTGGGGCGACACTCCGTCTTCTTCTTGACTCTGGCCATCCACATCGTCTTCACATTACCATATTGCTGGGTTTCTAACATTGGCCTTCACCTCACACTCCGCTTCTTCCAAGGACTCAGCTTCGAGAGTAACTACCTAATGCCTTACACCATCGGTGAGTAACTACTTCTTTCCTTACAACATCATCGTCAGTAGCTGCCTCATAACCCACATCATCATCAGTAGCAGCCTCATGACCCACATCATCATCAGTTGCTGCCTCATGACCCACATCATCATCAGTTGCTGCCTCATGACCCACATCATCACCAGTTGCTGTCTCATGACCTGCATCATCATCAGTTGCTGCCTCATGACCCACAGCATCATCAGTTGTCTCATGACCCACATCATCACCAGTTGCTGTCTCATGACCCACATCATCACCACAGTTGCTGCTTCACACCCACATCATCATCAGTTGCTGCTTCATGACCCACATCATCACCAGTTGCTGTCTCATGACCCACATCATCATCAGTTGCTGACCCACATCATCACCAGTTGAATCCCACATCACTGCCATCCCACATCATCATCAGTTGCTACCTCATGACCCACATCATCATCAGTTGCTGCCTTATGACCCACATCATCATCAGTTGCTGCCTCATGACCCACATCATCATCAGTTGCTGCCTTATGACCCACATCATCATCAGTAGCAGCCTCATGACCCACATCATCATCAGTTGCTGTCTCATGACCCACATCATCATCAGTAGCAGCCTCATGACCCACATCATCATCAGTTGCTGCCTCATGACCCACATCATCATCAGTTGCTGTCTCATGACCCACATCATCATCAGTAGCTGCCTCATGACCCACATCATCACCAGTAGCAGCCTCATGACCCACATCATCATCAGTTGCTGTCTCATGACTCACATCATCACCAGTAGCAGCCTCATGACCCACATCATCATCAGTTGCTGTCTCATGACCCACATCATCATCAGTTGCTGTCTCATGACCCACATCATCATCAGTTGCTGTCTCATGACCCACATCATCATCAGTAGCAGCCTCATGACCCACATCATCATGAAGTGATTTATGAAGTAGTGTGGATATGAGGATATTATGAGGGTGGGATACATGACATCGCTGACATATGTAAGAAAAATAAGGGACGAAACAACAGATTGAGTACTGAAACCTGAGGCTAGGAGGAAAGTCAACAGAAGTGAAATTTTCCGGATGGTTAATGGCAATAGCAAATATATTTTTTTAATTTTGCAGGAGTTCATGTGCCCTAGAATGCTATTTTTCTTGCATAATCAACGTGAATAAAGTTTTTCGCTTATATTTATAACATATACTATAGATAAGTCATGATGACCCTCTGCCAAGTCCGAAATTTCATTTGATTAATATATACAGTAGGTGACAAGAAATACTCGGTTATATCAGTACTCTTAGTTGTGCTGATGCCAGTTCTTCACAAGTTGGTATGTGCAATAAGGCTTTAAGTGACTATCTTATGCACCACTTCATTAACTGCTGCCTTTGGTTTTATGGTACTAGAAGTCATCAAAATGTTATAAAGAATCTATGTAAATATTTTTCATGAAGAAGGACTATTTTCTTTTCCTCGGTTGAAACATCCTGACATGCTTGATAATTATCTTATGAAGATTGAATTGAAACAGTTTATTTTGCCAGAAAAACACAGATACAGAGTGGATAATAATAACAATATTAACATGGCTGAGCCAGATGAGAACCTGAGCTCTCCTGTAGGCACTTGATAAATATATACTATACATTTATCTCAAGGAAGTATTATGTAACATTTAGCATCATCTGGAATAGTTCAAATAGCATGGTGGTAATAAGAACATCTCCTAATGTTACCACGGTTGTCACTTCGATATTTATTTATTTTATTTATTTATTATTTATTTTAATTTTTGAAATTTGTATTTTATTTTTTTACATTTATGTTATAAGTATTATACATAAGTTACAGTGGAGTTGAAAAACATAAGTATAATGGGGGAGCAGTACAACATGGGTTGTACAGTCATAACGTTGAACAAGAGGACAGAGCTGTCAGGAGTTTGTCTCGTTGGCAAATATATTTATTGCAATGGTAATTTCTTATCTATTTACATGATAATTTCCGATAAACCGGTTTTGCTGGTAAAATAAAAGCACATATATATAGTCGGTATTACAAGAAATATCAATACGTAGACAATAGATTTTTTTTTGAAATTATTTAAAGGACGGGAGCGTAGTCTTTGCTCGGATGGGTGGGGGTAAGTTGTTCCACACCTTCACACCATATGTTATGGAGGTCTGGGACTGAGAGGAGCGCATGGGGGGGGTGGTCTTAGTAGCTCTGGGTGCCTTAAGTTGTATCTCTGATTATTCGGCTAGGTCCGTATTATTGAACTTAGATGTCAATGTCTACTTGCACTGTAGATATGAGGGCAACGAATTTGTAAAAGCTTATTATTTCTGTTCCAAACAGTGTTGGAGGTGGTTTCGCCAGACCATCGTGCACTGGTCATCATGCTGTCTTTTATCTCATGGACGTTTGGGATGTGCTTCACCGCATTGGTGGCTTGGCTCATCCCTAACTGGCAGTATCTAGCTCTCATATCCTGCCTCCCTTCACTTCTCGGCTTTTTGTACTGGAGGTAGGCCGTCACTACACCCCACTTCCTTGCCACCTTATGCTAAGCACATGACCTACGAAAAATAACTTTGGATTTATATGGTTTATGGTTTTACAGAAATAATCCGTTATTTTTCGCTCGATTTCGTGAACTAGATCGCAAAATTGAGATTAATTCCGTTAACACGCTCAAACCTACGGAGACACCCCAGACACATGATACAGTAAAACCTACTTTAGTTTACGGAGAATGTACTAAATGTGTGTGTGTATATATATATATATATATATATATATATATATATATATATATATATATATATATATATATATATATATATACACACACACTATCACCGCCAGAAATCATGTTGTAAAGTTAACTCTAGCTATCATTTACATGATCTTGATTAGTGTATGTCTAGCCGTAGGAGGTCTGTGTGTGTGTGTGTGATATTATTGGTGGGGTTGTTTATCTTCCTCAGGTACTTACCGGAGTCGCCACGGTGGCTGTTATCTAAAGGTCGGCTGGGACAATGTGTGGACATTCTGCTCGAGGTGAGTACCTCCAGCCCCAGTGTATCCTCAGGGTCATTTAGGACTCCACCTGTCAGGCCTCTTTGTGTCATTATTCGCATTACTATGTGAGTCTTAACTAATGTATCTTGTTCTTGTATCACTAGTGTATTAAAATTTTAATGTTTCTTTAAAAAATGGGCAATTAACAAAAGGTTTGGTTCTTCTTACGATACAATAATACAAGTTAATGGTTAAAATAGGCTAAAAAAAGGTTGCACCGTGGTTGGAACACATGTTATACTCCACAAGTGACCTTATGATGCACAATTTTCGATGGCTGGTGTCTATAGTAAAATTGTGGAAGTGATCTTGTGTTGTTGCTCTGATGAACAATAGCATGAAATTCCGACATATAACCAGAAGAAATGGTTTCACAAAGCATTGAGAATATAGAGAATCTCCCATTTTCCCATTACAGGTATTAGGTTATACTCGTAATTTAGCTACTATTTCATAAGAAAAGGCAATTTGATTTGGGCAGATTGATTGGTAATCATGTGTTATATTCGCTAAATTAAGTAACTTAAATGAATATTCAAACCATTGTAAAAAAGAATCAATTAGAGTGAACAAGTGATCGCGGGCCCTTCGTGCCCTGTTCGCCGTCCGGCTGACAGTGTACAGCGAATGAGGGTGCGCCAAGCCCGTAGACTTGCATCGTTTTCCATCGTAAATAAAATGGTTAATTAATGTCTTCCTAAAGAAACCATCGACATGGGACCAGGTTTGTTCTACTCTACGAATTTGTTGCGATTTTTCCACCAAGTTTGATGAAAAACGATTGTGCCGTTTCGGCTGGCCAGAACAGACAGACAGACAGCTAGTCCTATAGTATATCAGACAAGTGATAGCAGGCACCTTCGTGCCCAGTGAAAGTTTGAACGCTCGTGCTTGGCTAGCGTACAGTGAATGAGGGTGCGCCAAGCCAGTAGTCTTGCATGGTTAATTAGGGTGCTCCAAGTCCGTAGACTTGCATCATTTTCCATCGTAAATAAAATGGTTAATTAATGCCTTCCTAAAGAAACCATCGACATGGGACCAGGTTTGTTCCACTCTACGAATTTTTTGCGATTTTTCCACCAAGTTTGATGAAAAACGATTGTGCCGTTTCGGCTGCCCAGAGCAGACACACACACACACGCCTAGTCCTATAGTATATTAGATAACATGGTGCTGATGCAGTTGGCTGATAGCACTGGAGATGTGGCAAAGCAGTTAATGTGGATATTTTTTAACAGATAGCGCGGGAGAATGGCAAAGAGGGAGTGTCACGAAGAAACCTGGAGGAAGAATTGAAGCACCTCACTTTGACACAGCAAGAAGAGATGCCCTTTACACAAGCCTTAGCCTACCCCAAGCTTAGACTCAGGGCCATCTTGGTCTTCCTCATGATGTGAGTACTTCTAGTGTAGAATGACCCTTTAATCCTGGGTCAAATCACTGTTCTTATGCTATAATTATTGTTCTTACATTCTACCACTGTTCTTATAATGCACCACAGCTCATGTGTTTCACTGTTGTTCTCGTGCTGCATCACTGTTCATGTACTTCACTGCTATTCTTTAACTTTATCACAGTTCTTATGCTGCACACTTCTTGTGTATCTGAACTCACTCATACAGGGTGATTCTCAAATACGTGCAGTAAATTGCAGGGTGTATTCTGGGACAATTCTAAGGCACATGTCGATATGACAAAATGGCGGAATCCGCGTAGTTTTCTAGTTGCAGCACCTAGAAGAGGTTAAGGTAATGATAGTGAGGTTGGAGTGAAGCAGCCGAAGATTTTATGCACATAACACTACACAATGTGATCCAGTTGTGTTAATGAAGTCAATGTTCAAATTTACCTCTCTCTTTCTCTCTCTTCCTCTACCACATTGTGCATTACAGTGTGAATTACACGAAAGCGCTTGGGAACTTCGTGTTTTCTTTTTCCTTGTGGTTATCAGCATATACCTGGATCACGCGCACCTACAGTGATTTACTTGCACATATATATATATATATATATATATATATATATATATATATATATATATATATATATATATATATATATATATATATATATCAAAACAAGGATGATTTGATGGCAGACTAACTTTTACTAGACATAAAAATTAAAGTTCTATAGAATTCCCCCAGCGGACTTGAAATTTTTTAATATCTTTTTACTGGTATTTAATATATGTCACCCCAGCAAACATTTGCCGTATAACCTTTTCAAAATGTTAAATAACTAAAAATTAAATGAACGACGGTGGTTGCTATGTTGTCCAGTGGATTGCGTGATAACACACCCAACGGACACTGTTTATGCGCACCCTTGCCTCTCGTCCTCAGAACTGTACTCACATTAATAACCTCGAGGGTGGAATCATGTACCACGGTGGGTTGTAATTGTTACTTAGGTTTATGCTGTATAACCATGACTGTTACAGTTTGCCCTTCCTGACACGGGTAACCACCTGAACCTAACCTAACCCAGTCTAATCTAATCTAACCCAACCTAACCTAACTTAGTCTAACATAACCTATCCTAAACTAACCCAACCCATCCCAACCCATCCCATACCACCCCTTCCCATACCATCCCATCCCAACCTAACTTAACTACTTCCGTTTTGGAGCTATGGCTGGAACAGACAGACACACTCACAGAAAGACATACACGTAATTTTATTATTAAAAGTAGATAGATAGATAGATGTTGACGATAATGTTATCAACACTGTTGCATTGGTGTGAATCCACATTAAGAATAACATCCGGAGGCATATTGTGACAGCACAACATTGTTCCCGTCTTCAGAATATAAAGTGACCATTAGTCCCAGCATTAAATAATTATAAAAAAATGTAAGGTAAAGTGGGTCTGGTATAGAAACGTTTAGAGAAGATAACTAAAACAGACAACGTAACAGTGATGTATGGAGGTTGGGGGCGAGAACACCATTAGTAGGAACAAAGGATCTGGCTCTGGCTTGTGCTTCACATCGTTTAACGGATGCAGCGTAAGTTACCATTTCAGACAGAACTGGGGAGAGAAAATGTAGCTAATGGAGGTAATCTCTGTGCATATTTTAACCATCTTCCTTGTGTCATAACTTGCATGATTCACTGACATGATCCTCCTTTTAGGTTAAAGAAAAAGAACATACATGAGATTATGGGTTAGGTAGACCATCGGTCCTCCTGTTACTGAGCCTATTAACTACTACTACTACTACCAACCCTACCACCAAACATCTGCAGCACCACCAACACCATGCACCACCATTACTCCCATCATCACCACCAACCCACACCCTACTCCAGCAGATATTCACTCGTTTCTCAGCAGAAGAATACAATTCATGCATCTTCTGTTGTATGAAACCGATGTTTCTACGTGTTCGACAGTTTTTCTCCACCCAATGATACTTCCTCACCCGCCAATGGTTCTCAATCTCTAGTAATGTAAGGTTCCCCCCTCCCCCAGGTACAGCGTGTTCGTGGTATATGGTATCTTGCTGCTGGGAATCAACGTCATGCCCAGTAACTACTTCCTCAGCCACTTTATATTGTCGATCTCGGAGCTGCCCAGCAACTTCCTGGGGTGGATCATCACACACTACCTGGGTCGCCGCTTCATGTGCTGGTTCACTTATATCCTCCTCGCTGTCTTCTCCGTCGCCGCCACTTTCTGTACTCAAGGTAACTTTCCAGCATCATTCTCCCCCTCGGCGTATGGCCAAGTTTCTCCTACTTAAACTAACTGTAATTATAACCTTTGCACTGGATAACTTCTTACTGATTACTCAAACACTGTATGTAGATGATATCTCATGAATCAGTGGAACAAATTTCCAAATTTTCACCCGGTTATACTAAGGTCTAAACCCGGATCACATAATTATACATACACGTAGCTGTAACAAATGACACAATATGCAATTAATTTAAGGATACAAAATCCTTTGTTATGTTAACACTTACAAGAAATGCAATGGGAAAATGAAGCACATTTTACTTTGCTCACTGATGCGTATACACAAGAGAAGGTTCACGACACCGCACATTTAAAACCCACGACACTTAATAACATTAGAAAGTTGGTTGATTGTTTTAAGATACTGCTACTGTTTTAGAGAAGTACATTATCATAAATATTAATATCTAAATAGAAGGTTAAACATATCACAGCGTCAGGATTTTAACGGATCAAAAAGTTAACGTTCGCATCATGTGTTGCAGACGAATGGCTGCTGCTCATTGTTTTGGCGATGGCGAAGCTGCTGGCCACTCAGGGGCTGTACGTGATCTTCGTGTTGGCCTCGGAGATCTTCCCCACCCCCGTCAGGACCTCCGGCATCGGTTTAACCATCGTCTTCGGGATGTTGGGCATGGTCGTGTGTCCCTATGTCCTGAATGTAGGTGTCGGTTCTGTTGATGCTATTAATGCGATGTTGATGGCGATATATTATAAAGTTGTTAAGTTGTGGCCCAAGACGGTGAGACAGACGGAGGGAGGGAGGGAGGAAAGGAATGGACGGAAGGAGGGAGGTACGAAGTGAGGTAATCAGAAGGTCGGAAAGCCGTATGCTATAGTACCCAACTTCATTTTATAAAGGACCGTTTTAGGAACGGCATTCACCGTGAATACAACAGAGGTGCGTGAAACCTGGCAGCTCACCCGCCACCATCTTGGTCAAGGCAGCACGGCCACAGTTGTCGCAGCTGCTCACTAACAAACGGTGGTTACAGATAATTATGGAGGATTTAAACTCTTGTTTTATTTATCACGCACATTATAGTGGGTCAACCAAGGAGGTTGAAGGCACTTGAGTGAGAAGTGCTACCATATTGGTCAAGGCATCAGTCATTAACCTCACTTTAGGCAGCGGATGCGACTCCACCCATTCAAACTCCTTGGTAAGAACACACTTGCATGTGTATTTACAGTTGGTTAAATATCTAGGTAAGTATTAAATTACTTTATGTGACTAGTGTCTTTAAGACTTAAGTTTAGAATCATACAACTCTGTAGTTCTGTAAATGTTTCTAGTAAAAGTGTAATGATAACACGTAGAAAAAGAAATAATGATATAAAATCCATTAGTTTATTATTTATTTTCATTTAGTAACCAAACACTGAGAATATCGATGTTACTGCAACAATCGTCTACTCAACTGCGTGCGGGGAGGGGAATGTCTCCTAAAAGCTCTCGTAATTCCTACGTTAGTGTTTAATCAGGGCTACCGCCCATAAAATAAAAGTAATGGGATTAGTCACATTATCGCTATCTGTTTAAGCAACATCCGGCACGGAGAACGATCTAAAGTACTAGACAACGGTTTATATCCATAAGTGTACTAACCCTAAGTAGTTTTCTTTAGTCATCACTAAACATATACTTTATATGCTTGAGTAGTAATTGATGTATGGTGTTGCAGTCCGGGCTGGGTGCGACCTTCCAGTACTGGGTAATGGCGGGTCTGTCGCTGATGTCGCTGCTGCTCTCCCTGCCAGTACCGGAGACCATAGGGCTGCCCCTCCCCCAGACCTTTCAGGAGGCTGAGAACCTGGGTGCTGGCCGGCCCCTCTCGGCCTGGATCCACCACTGGAACAAGAACGAGTACCCGACCCCATCACCACTGCACCTACTCCCGGATCACCAACAGGAACTAAAAGAGTTAAACCCCAAAAAGCCTTTCGTTCAGTAAGGTGAGAAAAGAGTGTGTCACCAATACACCGATGCCAGTAGAGCGAACATAGAGAGAAAAAGAAAAGAAAACAGAAAACTTTATTTTTGTTGGGCGAACACGACCCTACAAGAGGCACTGCTCGCTTTGTTCCCCTACCACTATGTTATCTTTTATTTTGAAAATATATTGAACTTTCGACTAAAGGAAATACTTTAAAAGTAGCATGAAGCTTTCAGTGTAAAGATGAGACATTCTTCCTATGTGAGCCATAGTCTTATTTCTACTTAAAATATTTGTTCTTGTTTCTCTGAAGTTTGTGGAAAATCTAGAGATGATTTTTTTTTAATTCACGGGTTTCTAATAATAAGTTCTAATGCAAATTGTGCAAAACGTATCTTATATTAAAAAAATCTTTTTCCTTGACTTTTTATATTAATTTATTTTCCGATTTTAAATTTAATTAAATTTCTCAGTAAAGTCCTTTACTTGTATTGTTTTATTTATATCCATTCTGAATGAAATCTAATATATAAACTTTTTTCTTTTATATAATTAGGAAATAACAGCACATTACGTTTGATCTTGTTTTACCTGTATGACAAAATATAAGAATACACAAATTTAGCTGATACTATTAAGTGGTGTTTTATTTTATTACTATATTGTAGCAGCGCTGTTGTCGTCTGTCTCTTTAAAATCATTATCAGTAAAGAGAGATTTTTCATTAAAGTGGTTATGATTATTATATGTAATGTGAAAATACTCAGTTATTTATCAATAGAAAAGATCGAGCAAGTGAATTCATTACTAGTAATGGGCAACAAAATAGCAAATTATACTGGAAGCCCATAATCCAATGTACACCCACTAAAAAATTATTCGGCACCTGTGTAATATTGTATCACGCCGTAAGGGTGCCGAATAATTTTTTAGTGGGTGTACAATTGTACATGTAACTCATAACATTGGCTGTGAGGAACAGCCCAGCTTCTACCAACCTCGTGAAGTGTGGTAAGGACTAAACACCCTTTGAGTGTAGAGGTTAGAACTGATGATGCTACTGGTCCTGCGTGAAGATGGGTCGTCAGCCTTGACTTACTGTATATGACGTTTTGATTTAATGACGTAAAGAGGAACATGACAGGCATTCATAGTTAGTTATTGGAAACTATTGTAATATTTGGGACATATCAATTTTTTTTTACTATTTCAATATTATCATGTTACTTATTATTAATTTTCAAGATAGGCCGTTCATTTGTATGTCCAGGGGCCGGATACTCAAAACACCTCATAAGTTACGTTTTTCAGCATGATACAGTACCATATATTGAGGAAGCCTTACACTACCATAAATTTAGCAAACTCCAAATTTAATTATGGTTCCGTAAGCCTTCCGTAAGTTCTCGTAACTCTAGTGTTTATCCTGCAAATTAAGTTCTCTTGTCGGACGGTAGATGTCATTGCAGATGCTAGTTGGCCAATCAACGCTCAGTTAACAAAATCATCAACCAATCACAAGAGAAGGAGAAATCAGCTGAGAGCGACGCACGTAATATTATTTTGTAAACATGGAAGGACCACCAGCCAAGAAGAGACGACCTAATTTCATACAAAAAACAACAATTTAAAACCTGAAAATATATCGGATTAGCCGTAAATTTTCTTAAATTAATACTCTACCTACGATAATGTTCAAGGAAAGTCTGGAACTAGGCCTAAGGTAGCTGCTAGACAAAGTGTCTCACTGACGGCCTGACGCTCACCAAAAACCATGTACACATTCTCTAACCTAACCTAACATACCATAACATAACATAACATAACCAAACCAAACCTATCTAACCTATACCCTATTAGTATAATTTCTTATTTAAATAATCCTCATGTTCTAACTAAATTAAGTAGGCCCCATGTTTAAACATTTATTTGCCTAAGACTGAAAAAGCAGTTATATAGGCACCTATTAATCAAGTTAATTGCAATCCATATTTTACACCTAATATCATTTAATTTTGGCTAGCCTATGGAAATTTATAGCCTTTCATGTTATCATAAGCCATATACATAAGAAAATAGGCTAAGGCTATTGGTTGAATATTAGAAAAACAAGGCGAAGTCTTGGCAGGAATGTTCACTTGACCTCATATTTGGCTTTCATTACTGAGGGATATTTACGGCTATACAACATTAATAAGTTCTATCTGCAAGTTTACTTAGTCATAAAACATATTTTTACCCTAAGTGTGAACAATACAAACCTTCTATTTTGGTAAGAAATACTTTATAATGTGTAAGAAGACAAAAGATGCGTCTCTTCCAAACTGAGACAAACACAAACACTCAAGCCTCTTATTATACAACAAAAAAGTTACGAAAAAGACAAAGTGAAATATTGTATTTCAGTATGTTGATGTACAAAACATTTTCTTCTTTATTCTATGATAAAACAAGTCTAACAAGCATTATTACAACATATATTATTATTATTTTCTATACAATCGGAAATTAGTCACTACTACATCCGGGTTGAGAGTGTTACACAACCTCGGGAGCTGGTGTAAGTTACCCACTTTAACTTACGGAGTTCGATGTCAAATATTGGTTTTGAGTATACCATCTGTGTTTTGAGTATGCCAATCTGAGACTGTGAGTCCAGCTACGGGTACGCAACGACATACAGTCCCATAAATTTTTTTGAATATCCAGATCTCTAGTTGAATAGTTGGCACTTGTTAACAACAGAACTATTTTCGTAGTTTAGTTTGTGGACATGTACTGAAGTGTTTAAAACTATGAACTTGTGTGGCCAGAGTATCGGGCAGGCTCCTTCATGATATATTCCAACGATCACCCTGGATGTCTTAAATATATAAGAAAAACCTCTTGCGAAACATTTTGACTATAGTTCTTGATCAGAGAAATATGGGCGGTGCTGCGCGAAGAGAATGCGCAGTACCCACAGTCATTGTTCATTGGTAGTTCCTGACCCTCCCGACGCACACTCGATTTGTTACTTGCTGACGGTCAGTCACTCAACGATCAGTCAATATTGTCAATAGCTGAAGGCAAGAGAACTGGGATTGTGAAACGTTGTGTTGTGGGATTTTGGTGTACGTGACGAATTAAGAACGTTGTTTCTTTGTTGATGTTATAATGTTATTAATGCGCTTCAACAACTAAGGTATTTAAGCACGTAATTAGGTAAGTAATTACATGTCAACATCAACAATTTAAAAAATATATAACTCCACTGTTGACTGTAAATTGCAGGATTAAGAGTCAAGTAAATGAATACTTTCAGTGACTCGCTCTATACACACATACAGTACTTCACGTAATAATTGCTGTTGGATATACCAGAAAATTTGGCAAATGTATTCTTGATGATCTGTTATGATGGAAACCTTTTATTTTAGAATAAATCAGGTCAGAAGGGAAGTTATTTTACTTGCTTATGAAAGTGAAAGTGGGTCTTATAGGCCTAATGGCCCATCAGGGGCAGTGTGGATGCAGCAAACTATTAAGCTTTTCATTGCACAAGGAGGGCAGCAGGGCCGACACTAGTTATAAGCTTTCACAAACTTCCGACAAAATTCTCACCGATAATTCTTCACATTAAGGCTGAAATTTGATCCGAGTCTAAAGTTAATAGGTTAAAATTGATAAAGTTACTCTTGATAGCTTGACCTTAACCGTAGAACCAAACCCAAGTAGCTTCCAGGGACTTAATTATCCAGGAGAAGACTTCGACTACTGACCAGAAATGAATATAAAAGTTAGAAAGTAACATCTTAAAGCCAGTTCAGTGACTCCCGACTTCACGATCTTGACCTTAGACCTTTATCTAATCCCAGTCCAACAAAACAACCTTATTCGTTGAGAAGAAGTCTTCAGTTGGTTAGAATCAAAGCAGAGCTTAAGGCTCTTTCTCTATTGAAACACAAGATAAATACTTCACCAGATATAACGGAAATATAATAAACTAGACCAATTTAGGTTAATGAAGACAGTACTGACGAAAATCTAACAATCTTATTTCCATTTAAGAAAAAATAAATAAAAAAAATAAATAAAAAAATGCTCACGGTCCCAAGAGGAAAACTTCACAGAGGATGATGTTAGTCTTCAATGGTGTGCTGATGTCGATTTGAATATTTACACACGCTCAAGAAAGTATTTGTACACATTGCGCGCGAAATAATCTGGCACAACATACAATGGATATTGCAAAATGCCACATATCGCTTGCTAGCGACATTTCCTGTTTTATCTATGGTAAGTAATGTTATTATATGCACACTCACAAGAAAATCGATTAATCTTGGGAATAATATGTTGCGAGGTTTATGTTTGTGGTAACATTGCGACATAGGTGTATTGATCATTGAGGAAATCATCGGACCTCCCCTCCCATGTACACAGATATTTTTTTGATCGATGTATACAATAAGATAATATTGATAAATGATGTGTGTTAACATGCTGATTACGTTGTGTTTTTTCGACGTAGGTAACAGTGAGGCAGGATATAGGGAAGAACCTTGAGGCTCTAAGAGGAGGAGGCTTCAGACAGTCCCAAGCTGCGAAGACCCACCACTACCACAATAGAAAAGGCGAGGGAGAGGAGGGGGAGAACTTGGAATTACCATGGCGAAAGACTTTGATGAAATTCTGGAGAGTGTAGGATCCTACGGTTACTACCAGAAGTGGCTAATATATGTTCTCCTTATGCCAGCAACCTTCTTTAGTGGATTTACAGTGAGTAGTTAGTACTTGGGTAATGTTTAAGAAACAAACCATATAAATGTACTCGCTCTCTCTCTCTCTCTAATCAACGACCTCACCAGCAAGGAATCGAACCCTCGACCTACTGGGTGTGACTAGGGAACGCTTACCGGCTAGGCCACAAGGACACTAAAAGCAGTTCTAGACTCTGTTATATTTCACACAAAGCCTGTTCATCGAGCTGATGGCGCCGTGAACCTCAATGGGAAACTGCCCGTGCCTCTTATGTGGTGTCAGTAGCATTTTACCGAATCCAGCTGGTATGAAACGCGAGGTACATATATATACTTCATTTTTAGTCCATATAACACGCGGACTTTGAACATATAATCAACGACCTCACCAGCAAGGAATCGAACCCTCGACCTACTGGGTGTGACTAGGGAACGCTTACCGGCTAGGCCACAAGGACACTAAAAGCAGTTCCCTAGTCACACCCAGTAGGTCGAGGGTTCGATTCCTTGCTGGTGAGGTCGTTGATTATATGTTCAAAGTCCGCGTGTTATATGGACTAAAAATGAAGTATATATATGTACCTCGCGTTTCATACCAGCTGGATTCGGTAAAATGCTACTGACACCACATAAGAGGCACGGGCAGTTTCCCATTGAGGTTCACGGCGCCATCAGCTCGATGAACAGGCTTTGTGTGAAATATAACAGAGTCTAGAACTGCTTTTAGTGTCCTTGTGGCCTAGCCGGTAAGCGTTCCCTAGTCACACCCAGTAGGTCGAGGGTTCGATTCCTTGCTGGTGAGGTCGTTGATTATATATATATATATATATATATATATATATATATATATATATATATATATATATATATATATATATATATATATATATATATATATATATATATATATATATATATATCTTGGTGTCGTAAGGCGCCTAAAATGGTGGTGTGGGTTTAGGTGCACCTTCACCACTGAACTGATTCTTAAACAAATGTACACGGACTCGCGTAGATGGAAAAATATACACAGCCACCTACAAAGTGCACTCTATGACAAGGTGGGGGTACGGGATGATGATGATAATTAATAAAGTAATGTATATATATATAAGATTTGCTACAGATGTGTTCGCGTAATATGAAGGATGTGAAACAATTATTTAGAAAAAATGAGAAGTGTTTGTTGGGAGACAATGAATTATAATGATACACAAACCGTATGACAAAATAATGAAATTTAGTTATGTGAGCTACAAGATTTCATCCATACGTTAGTGGGGACATTAATGTTAAGTTCTATTAAAAATTATACATGGGTCACGTCTTGGTAATTAAGATGAATATACGAAAATAAAAGGTTAAAGAAAGATATATTCTGATGAGAAGTAAAGGAAAACATCAGATTTTTGTGTACAGATTCCTGAAGTGTGGTATGAATCAATGGACTGGTGAATGAGTATATGTGGCTAAAAATGTAAGCAGTCCCTGGTGGTATGCATATTTGTGTCCAGAACGTAGGGCATGGAAATTGAATAAGAAAAGAAAGAAAAAAATCATTGGTGATTTATTTTCTAAATTAATGTATGGAAGGTATTATATAGAACAAATGTTCCAGCACAAGAGGAATGCAAGGCCTTAGTGTAATAGGATGACAGAAGACAGTAAGGATGTGCCTATATTTTTCTGAACCTGAACGTGTCAGTTAGAAAACATGGGGGATAAAAATCGTAGGTTGAAGAATGAAAGAAAAAGATGGTTGGACATTCGAAAGAAACTGAGTGAAAAGTTGGGTGTTGTTGACAACTATACACGACGTTGTGGTAGACAGCTGTGTGGTGGTGAACCAGGAGGGTGTATGTTGAAGGCTGTAGCCGGCAGAGGATGTGGGAGTTAACATTACTGTAAGTACACCACCAACCGTTGGTGTGAGTGACACCACCACCTCCACCACCATGTACGAGACATTTCACTAGCAGAAACATCATAAACGGTACTGATATGTATCAGCCCATTTTGATAATGATATCTTACCTCATCAGATTAAATAACCTTATATCAAGAATGGTTATATTAGAAACTCCCCGTGAACAGGCATGAACCAGTTCTGTTATCATGTTACTATACAAGGTTCATAGCCAAAATTATCTCCATAGATTTGAGAAATGTGTCAATTTACCTTTTGTAATATACGGTTATTATTATTATTGTTATTATTATTATTAGTAGTAGTAGTAGTAGTATTAGTAGTAGTAGTAGTAGTAGTAGTATAGTATTGTGTTTTAACTATTTTTATAATTATAATTATAATTATAATTATAGTTACAGTTGTTGTTGTTGTTACTACTACTACTACTACTACTTTTTTTTCAACGTGGCCTCCAGCCTCCCCCAATAGCCACACCTTCGCCACCATTTAATTACCTTAATATTAAGTATCCTAATACATATGTAGCTATCCTATCAGTGTTGAGTTAGTTGAGCCGCAGATCTATGCGGCATTCAGTGACTGTAGCCTCATAGTCAATATCTGCAGCAGTTGTCGGAATTGGGGCAGAAGCTCTCGTTCCCCTGAGGCAGAGCAATGCCGACCGAAGGAGAGAGAAAGACAGTCGACATCTCATCCAGGCTGTAACAAAACTTCTGGGCTGCTGCTTCTGTTCGGAGATCACCTCCGCTAGTCTGGCGTAGAAACATCTTGCACTTGGTCCCATTCCACCAGGGGTTGTGAACACTAGAGGAGTGAAGCTGCCTTTATCAACGTTTTGGATTCTCTCCCCATATGCCCTTATCTTGTCGTTCTCGTTCCTCCTATGTGCAGCATGGAGAGCTAGGTTACGGTGACATGCGGCCATGGGATCAAAATTCCTGATGTCGAAGAAAGCTCGCTGTCCCCGCGTCCAGAATCCTCGAGCACTGACGTCAACACGGGCTTCGTTAGATGTGTTTGAAGTCCTATGTTGGAAGATCTCACCATCCAATGGAAGGAGGGTCGGTTCTACCATGACATCCCGTGATGATCCCGGCAGATTTCCTTCAACATATTTGCTGTAAGGTCCCTTACTTCGTCATGCCTCATGCAGATGAAGCCCCCTTTCTTGCACACCATGGCGTGATCGCCGTCATAGGAAGAGCCACACACGCATTGGGAGGGCAAACCTTCTACTGGCCGACCGTACCTTAGAGCAATGGCATCTGTAAATTCTTGTTTGTTAAGACTGAAACCATTTGCCCTTATCGGTAACGTAGTTAACTAGTTCGAGGCGCCCACCTCCTGCGCTATAGCTACTTTTTTTTCTAAAATTTTCTGGAACCTGCAGCAACAGTTGCTGCAACTTATCATTTTGGCAGTGCTGTCAATCTGTCGTAATGGACCTACGAATCTCGTTTACTTCACTGGTATCGACCTCCCCTGTTGCGTTCTGGGCTATCATGTGGTCCGTGAGGGCTGCCGTGAGCTTAAGTGAATTTTGATGTTCGGTGGCTGCAATCTCCTCTGGATTGGTTAGTCCCATCCCTCCCAGTCTTGATGGAAGTGCAAGAAGTGCTCTTTCTGCTGGGGTTAAATGTGTGTGTTTTACTAATTTGGGAATGAACTTGACACTGATAGCTTCTTCCAGAGTGTGGAGGAGGGGTCCGATATCAGGGATGGTACGCATCAGGTAGTTCCAACGATGCTTGACTCCATGAGTGAATGCAGCAAAAGCCGCATGTGGCTCTGTGTTAGCAATCTCAGACAAAGCTTGGATTTCACTAACCCACTCATTCACCTTTCCCGCTACGTACTCGGTCTTGAAGTCCGTAGTGCCAATTACTGCGCCTAGATGTCTTTGGCCGTCCTTAGTTATTTTGACCTCACTTCCGCCAAAAACCTCCTTTGCCCGTTCGTAATGTTCTGGCTTCACAATGAGGAAGGACTTGCTGGCGTTTGGGTGGTACCCTATTTGTGGACCTTGCGATGTTACCAAGTCCCACCACTTTTTGATGCCCTCCACTTTTCCTGCTCCTGTAAGGTCGTCAGCATACGCCATTTGTTTGACCCCAGTTGTTTCAAATTTTATTTCTTGTTGGAGCACTGATAGGCCTATTGCATACATTGCCATTGCAACAGGGTCCCCCTGTGTTGTTCCCTCGGTTGACTGTAAGATGGTATCACCTCTTAGGGCCTTGTTGTTTACTATATAAAGGTCTGATGGATTCCTATAGGAGTTTTCAACGTACATTGCAAAGCTTGGACACTTGATCTTAATGTTGTGCAGTGCGGCCTTGCGGTTAAGTATGTTGAATGCGTTTGAAGCGTCGACCAGGAGAACGGCCTCACAATCGCGTTGCTCAAATATCGTTCTCATGGCGTGAATGGCAGCTTCCCCTCCAGCTTGTTGGCCAGCACAAACTTGCAGGTTCCCTGCTGCTGCCCTGACATCGTCCTTTACCACCTCCATTATGCATTTTCCGATGATTCGCCTCAGCACTTCCCCCATTCCTATTGGCCTACATCCTGGATTCTTATCCAGGGGAATGAGGCGGCAGGCCGTCAGAGCATGAAGGTGATGGCAGCATGAGGATGCCAGCTTTCTTGCAAGGACGGCAATGGCCGTGCAGAGATCACTTGCTGCGGGGCCAAACTTGTTAGTACTGAGGATGACTCTCCAACCGTTTGCATCCAGACCTGAAGGGCCGGCACCTCCCTGAGTCTTCAGTGCCTTTTTCCACACCATCCCTCCTGTTATTTTCTCGAACAGGACAGCATTTGGTGGGATATAGGCACCCTGAAACCTGATGCCTTCGTCTTCACTTGCAGAGGGATGTTTTTCTTTCAGTTGTTTTAATGTCTCTCTACTACTGTACTACTACTTCCGCCGCTACTACTACTACTACTACTACTACTTTTTTTTTTTTTACTACTATTACTACTACTACTACTACTACTACTACTACTACTACTACTTTTTTTTTTTTTAGCCTCCCCAATACACACCGCCACCATTTATTTAATATTAAATATCCTAATACATAAGCAACTATCCTATCTGTGTTAAATTAGTTGAGCCGCAGATCGATGCGGCATTCGGGCTGTACCCTCATAGTCGATATCTGCAGCAGTTGACGAATAGGGGCAAGCTCTCGTTCCCTGAGGCGAAACAAGCCGACCGAAGGAGAGAGAAGGACAGTCGACATCTCATCCAGGCTACTACTACTACTACTACTACTACTACTATTATTATTATTATTATTATTATTATTATTTTATTATTATTAATTTATTATTATTATTATTATTATTATTATTATTATTATAATTATTATTATTATTATTATAGTATTATTATAATTATTATAATTATGATTATAATTACAATTATTATTATAATTATTATTATTATTATTATTATTATTATTATTATTATTATTATTATTATTATTATTATTATTATTATTATTATTATTATTATTATTATTATTATTATTATTATTATTATTATTATTATTATACATAGATATGCCTGAGATACGCAATAAATAGAAAACTTTTCAAATGTTGTTTAGAAGGAATTCCCATATATTCCACTATTAAATGTAAACAAAATCACTTAAAATAATTTGAAAATAAAAAACAATTCGAAGGTGGGGGTTAAGCTATAGTCGTCCTTCAGTAATATTTATGTTCCTCTCGAGCACAGATGAACCTAATGTTGTTCCAAGTGGTGGTGCCGGATCACTGGTGTTACGTCCCAGGACGAGAACACTACTCTCCCCGAGGTGGAGGCCCTCACATTGCCCAGGTAAGTCTCATCTGGTACACACACATGGTAATACCTAAGGTTTCAATCCAAGTACTACATAGGGAAGAAAGGTTAAGATGCAGAGCTGGTGAGGTCGTAGGCGGAGAAGAACTTGTTTATGGCTCCGGTACCTAAACTGTTTTCCGTGCGACACTGTATCATTTAGGTAAACAAGATCAGAGCTGTCAAATTTCGGGCAATAAGCGTGAAACTCACATAATATGCGCTATTTTTCTTAAATGCATTATTACATCATAAAACAGCATTTATATTTTTTACAATATTATAAAACATCAGAGCTTTGTGATTCTCAACATAGATGATCTAACATCAATGTCATTTAATACTGAAGCCTTATCATGTAATATCTTTTACATTGTCATTTTATCTATGATGTTCTCATGCAATATTTTTTTCAACTAAATATGAGACGAGGCACATGCAAGAAATAATGCGTATTTATCTTGAACTCTGATTATATCAATGAGCGGATAATTTAATTGTGTTTAAGCATTTAACAGTGATCATAAATAAATTTGTGCAATTATGTAATATTTATTATTATCATTATTATTATTGTTGTTGTAATTCCTCACGATATAAGACACGGCAAACCAGTACAAGTGTACATTATTAAATGATAATTTTTCTATACCTGAGTGTGTATAGTCGATGGATAGATTAAGCAGTTTTCTAAGTCGACGGCTTACAGTTATCAGTTTTGATGTACACCACTGAAGAGAAAGTTACTGACAGGAAAACAAATGAAAAAGTACTAATATTAGCAAAAACTTCAGGAGAAATACCCGAACTGCTTACCCAGAAAAAGAAAAACGAGATACTTCGATCATATATTAAGGACGAGGAAGAACAGAAATAATAATGGGGGAAAGTTAAGGGTAGAGAGGGTCAAGGAAAGCAGAGACTGGGATGGATGAATTAAATTAAAACTGGGTCCCCCATAGAGATGCAAAACCTTGAATTTTTGACTGGCAAGAAAATAATGAGAACGTTTAGAGTGGTCATAAACCCTCAGATATGAAGACAGTTCTCGATAAGCATATACCAAATGAAAACTGTTTCCACTCGAGCCTAGGTCATTTCGTCGCAAGAAGAGCATAAGAATGGAGAAACTGCAGCAAACCTATTGGCCCATACTGGGCAGTCCGTTTACACCCAAACTCTTTCGCTCATATATCCGCCCAACCTATATTTGAAGCTACCCTGCATGTTCGAGTTAGTGGTGATGTTTGGTAACTTATTGCCACTCGCAGGCTTCTCTATTTCCGAAATAAGAGTACTGTGTACTGCCGCCAGTTTTCTCGTTATAGTTAAATTTCAGCGGACTTCTGTAATTTCAACAGATCCGGCTTGTTTTACAGAGCCATCGAGAGTCCGAAGTATTCAGCTGTTTGATGTACAAAGGGGAGTGGAGTGGCGGCAGGGCGAACTACACCGTCACCAACAGACACAGGTGAGTGGCTAGTAGACCTTAAATGCTCTTAAACTGTAGTGCTGCCATTAAAATTTAGATAATGGTGATGTATAAATAACATCCTGTGTGTTCTTCATTTTATAACTTGTATTTACACTATGTCAGACTACTACATGGACTCAACACAATACAATATGTCTTGCTCTAACTCAATGAAATGTTAAGGTTTCGTCCATATACAATATTGTAGATAACCCAGCATTGACATTAAGGGCAGCTTGAGAACTTCAAGTCAAGAATTTCACCACCATGTTAAGTTGGGAGTACTCATGAAACACCAAAACTTTCTTAGAAGGTGTACCTCATTAAGTTACTAGTCGCGTGTTAAGCAGGCCGGCAATGTAAATTTGTCACAGTTGTCCTTTATATTCAGGGGTCTGTAACTTATCCTGCTGACAGGTGAGCTTGTGGCTGGTGGCAGCTTTTTGAAATAAAGACATGAATAAGAAAATAAGTTATTGTACGTCTGTAAATGAAGCACAGTACAATGATGTTATAGCCCATAGATATTTATTGACTATGTGCTAAGTGATTATTGTGTATGCTGAGTGTAATAGATATGTACAGTATTACTGCAGAGTGTATCAGTGGTGGCAGCGACCCATCACAGTTCACCAAAGAACTTTGTCTACTGAATTGGGTGGGTGTGTGGGCAGAATGCTCCCCAACACGTCCTCTCGCCTTCACGATGGCTGGCAACACTGTGGGCACATTCCTCCTCCGATCCTTGCTGACAGATGAGTGAGTAGCTGCTCATCCTTTCTTTTAGATGGGTGAATTAGTGTAATTTAATTTACATGTACAGTAGAACCACGTTGGAAACACTATTTCTTTTCCGATCTGCGAAGTTAAGCAATGTTGAGTTTACTTAGTACTTGGATGGATGACCTTAGAACACCAGATGTTGCTTGCATAAGGACTCAAGTCACTCTATTGGAGACAAGCCTCTCACGGCGTTGTCAGCTGTTCTTGGTCAAATTGACTGAATAAAGAAATTTGTTTATATTTTTTGTTTGATCAAGGTAGTATTGCTCGATAATACTAATGATTAAGAATAATAACTGCAGTGCATGTGTTGACAGGATCATGTTACTATAACTTGTGGATACAAGAGACCCATGTTTGTATGTTGGAGTTAATAGAATCGTCAAACGAATTATATACCATGTGTCCCTTAACCCTTCTGTTGCAATTCCCGCACTTGCCATTTTATTCGGGATACCACCAGACGATTTTATTCCGCTTAGGGTAACCTCCCGCAGCCAAATGATTAAGACCCGCTTTGCACAAGCGTTTTTGTCCCATGCAGATAATTTCACGCCCGTGAGTTTTTCTAGAAGCCGCGTGCTCGCTAGGGTGTGGTTTTTGTTTTTCACGCTCCGTCTGCTTGCATCTGGTCATGATGGAGGACGCAAACAAGAGAATTATTTATGTGTTTGATGAACAATATATTCTGAGGAAGAAATACAGCACAAATGGCGGGTCCATCCAATAAACAGTACTAGACTATTAGACGGTACATCCTGTATTTTATAATTTATACAGGTCTGAAAGCTGATGAAGTTACAGTACGTTCATATCCTAAAAGTCAAATATCACCTGACTGGTCTATTTCCCTCCCACCCATCAAATGACGATTCATGACAACAAGTCGATTTGATGGGTGGGAGGGAAATAGACCCGTCATGAGTTCAGGTGCAACACCTATGCAAAGTCTAATTAAACCAAGTCTACCCACGAGCAAGGGCGAAACTTATTATGTGATGCCGTTGGCGATAGTAGAAGAAAACGGTAGTAAGGGAGGACTGTATATTAACACGGGTGAGACCACCCCACTGTATTAGAATATATTCTTGCCATATTTCCTGACTTTCTCTTCCCCTGGCACACTATCTTTCAGTTAGTCACTTGAACTTCTCATGTAATCATTATTTTTATGATATTCCTGTTCTTATTATTAAAAAAATATTATAATTATAATTAACAGTTCTCTTCTTCCTCTCTCTATTGTTAATTATACTCTTATGATTTTCCTGCCAGTATCAGTGTGAAAGCAATTAAGTAATGATTAGCAATCATAGGAAAAAGGCTAGCTATTTACTGGGGGGGGGGGGCAGAAGGAATACAGGAATTAAATAAAATAGTTAACGAAAATAATAAAAATTGTTAATGATTATCATCATCATTCGCTGTCCCCAAGCTATTGCAGTAAATCAGTGAATACAAGTATATATGTGTATAAGTTTTAAATTTATTAATATGGCCATAGATATATTACAGATGGCTAGGCAATACAACAGTTTCAAGCAACAAATAGGTACTTGTCTCTCCACATCCAGTTTCTTGGCCGAAGGTTAGACTTTAGGGAATTTAAATTAAATCTGCCAAGGCTTCTCAAGCAGTGCCCTTCCTCCTGTTGACCCAATATATTTGCTGCATGCACAATAAAATCCACCTTTTTCTCAGTTTTTCATTCTTTGGAAATTGATGAACTCTCAAACTTTTATCATGTAGACTGTAATTTGATATGCATCCAAATACGGAGCATTTATCAGGCATTGCCACAGACCTTCTCACTACGACGGCCAGCTGGTAACTGAGGTCCCACTCTAGGGCCCGACCACACTCCCGGGCTGCCGGCCAGATGACGTCATGCTGGGTGAAGAACGAGTTTTCGACTCGAAGTGGGTCGACTTGGTATATTTAGACTTTGCCCCTATGTATGAAATCTAAAGGTCTAGGACTGAAGTAATGAATATCTGCATAGAAGCTTCACTAGTGACCTCTGGCAATGAGAAATTCTTTTTAACAGTAATTGAATTAGTAAATCGCATGTGATTTATAAAGTAGTATTTTATTTTATTTTAATTTATATAATTTCATAGTTTTAACTTAAAACTTATCTCATTGCCAGAGGTCACTAGTGTACAGTAGGTTAAGTGCGGTTGTCCACGACTTTAGTCCTAGAGTGTACTACTCTCTATAAGCGTAAAGTCAGACAAAGTAAAATATTTTCACAAGTGCGTGCTGGGATTCGAACTAGGGCCACTATGATTAGTGATCAGGCAGTAATCCACGGTGTTGTGCTGGATATTTTATGAAAAAGATCTCTGGAACCTGTGTGTGGGTGGGGTGCCCTAACTTATCAGGTTTACAGTTCTTGTCGTGGGACCTTGAGCTGTAAGTGATCAGCTTTTTGCCCATCGTGTTCCGGTGGATTACTGCTTGCCTGTCAACCTTGGTGACCCAAGTTCGAATCCCGGGCCACACAGGTGAAGATTATTTTCTTGGTTTACCTGTGTAAAGTACAGGCTATCATAAAATGAAGTCATATACTGATATTTACATTAAAGTTTACATGTATGTAGTTTTGTTAGCCCAGTGTTTTAAGTGTGCGTTCCTAATCCAGTGAAGCCGAATATGTGGGTGTGGGTATCTGACTCACTGAAGCCTAATGGGTGGATGTGGGATGACTGGTTCACTGAAGCCTAATGAGTGTGGGTGCTTCACTTATTCCTTTCACTGAAATATGTTTGTACCTGGCAGTTTGGGGCGACACTCCGTCTTCTTCTTGACTCTGGCCATCCACATCGTCTTCACATTATCATATTGCTGGGTTTCTAACATTGGCCTTCACCTCACACTCCGCTTCTTCCAAGGACTCAGCTTCGAGAGTAACTACCTAATGCCTTACACCATCGGTGAGTAACTACTTCTTTCCAGACAACATCATCGTCAGTAGCTGCTTCATGACCCACATCATCATCAGTTGCTACCTCATGACCCACATCATCATCAGTTGCTGCCTTATGACCCACATCATCATCAGTTGCTGCCTCATGACCCACATCATCATCAGTTGCTGCCTTATGACCCACATCATCATCAGTAGCAGCCTCATGACCCACATCATCATCAGTTGCTGCCTCATGACCCACATCATCATCAGTAGCAGCCTCATGACCCACATCATCATCAGTTGCTGCCTCATGACCCACATCATCATCAGTTGCTGCCTCATGACCCACATCATCATCAGTTGCTGCCTCATGACCCACATCATCATCAGTTGCTGCCTCTCCTATATTTCTAATATTTACTAACGATAAACCATTATAAACCCTCTGCTAAGTCCGAAGTTTCGTTTAAGTAATGAATAGGAAACAAGACACTCTGGGTTACTAATGGACGCTGTTAGCTATTCTTATTTATAATGTTCCCATTTCTTAACAAGTTGGCTCATGTAGTTAGGCGTTAAGTGACTACTTCCAGCCCTACTTCATGAGCTGCTGCCTTTGGTTGTATTATACTGTACGTTATTAATAGGCTGTGAATAATCCCTTCAAATGTTTTTCGTGAAAAAAGACAATTTTCTTTTGATTGGTTGAAACATCCTGTTATGTCTGAGGAGTGTGTCATACACCTAGGGCCATATTCCCAAACCTCCTTGAAAGTCTCCTAAGTTCCACTATTCAGATACATTGTAGACGCGAGGACAACGAATCTCTATATGTGCTCATCATCTCCCTCCCAAACAGTGTTGGAGGTGGTCCCGCCAGACCATCGTGCAATGGTCATCATGCTGTGTTTCGCTGCCTGGTCGTTCGGGATGTGCTTCACCGCATTGGTGGCTTGGCTCATCCCTAACTGGCAGTATCTAGCTCTCATATCCTGCCTCCCTTCACTTCTCGGCTTTTCGTTCTGGAGGTAGGCCGTCACTACACCCCACTTCCTTGCTACCTTATGCTAAGCACATGACCTATGAAAGAAAAGGTTGGAGTTATATAGATTTGGGTTTTACGAAATAATAAAAAAGTCCATTTCCTCTCCCTCACCTTGTAAATGGCCTACAGTGCATAAAATCAACTGATATTTGACACAGGCAGTGTAACCCAGACTCAAATCTCCCCATTTTAGGTCAACTAGAATAAATTATCATTGTCATGTCCTCAAGTGTGGTTCCTCGGGTGGATGAAAAGCAATACATAAGTTATAAGTTTTATGAAGTGAACCATCATCATTGCTCTGTGTTAAGCGTAAAGTGAACTCCACCTCCTAAGCTCTAAAATAACAATTACCCAATGGAACAAGAATGCGCCCTGAAGAAATAGCTAACAGTTTAAGGGTGACTACACATAAGCATCCAACCCTTTAGAAAAAAAATTATTTTTACCAAACTATTAGCAAAGAAGAGTGTGTGATTAAATTTCAATGTGTCACAGAAAACCCCCAGAAATAAAGAGCTCTTGCTAAGAAACTCATGGGTCCGTATAGTGGCAGACATCTAACTATGAATGAACTGTGTTTTAAACTCACTGAGGCTACCAAAGACTCCAGAGTGTCCAGTTACCAATTCCAGCAGCTCCACATAACATTCTATATGAGGATCGTCTGCTGTACATTTCAAGGCCATTGGATTAAAAGAGAACTGACGTTTTACCAAATAGGAATACATTTACCTTTATTGCTTCAACTAATTGGAAATTTATAGGTTAATGTACAGTTTCCCCCGATTCATTTAAGACAGTGGTATCCGACCTGTAGCTCGCGGGCGCCATTATGGCGCCTACAAAGGTTTATTAGAAAATTGTGAATTATTTGGGATTATCTGGAAGAGTGAAATTAATGAAAATATGTAATAACTTGATGCAACAGCTATAATTTACATGATCTTGATTAGTGTATGTCTAGCCGTAGGAGGTCTGTGTGTGTGTGTGTGATATTATTGGTGGGGTTGTTTATCTTCCTCAGGTACTTACCGGAGTCGCCACGGTGGCTGTTATCTAAAGGTCGGCTGGGACAATGTGTGGACATTCTCCTCCAGGTGAGTACCACCAGCCCTGGACTGTATCCTCAGGGTCATTTAGGACTCCACCTGTCAGGCCTCTTTGTGTCATTAATCGCATTACTATGTGGCTCTTGTAATAATATTACTGCGGTTCAATAACGAGGGTCTTTAGGCGCGTTACACAGTAATACACAATCCCAACAACATTAAAAATTATGAGATAAAACTCTGTGTGTTCTCTCTGTGGCTCTTATCTATTACATCTTCTTATGTTGCCACCTTAAAATTATATTTTTTCATTACCCAAATACAAAACATTTTCTGTAACTTTTAAAATAATTTAGGTTTCTTTTAAACGAAAGTTATAAAATTTACCAAATAACACATTGTTGGGTATCCATTACAATACAATAATAGAAATTAAAGGTTAAAATGGTCTAAAGAAACTAATGAAAAGTTATCGTGGTAGTTGGAGCACACCTTACGCACGCTTCGCAATTGAGCTGTAGTCTATAGTAGTACTGTGCAGGTGTTCTAGTGACCATTAGATTGAAATCTAGGTGTTCGAATCTCACATAAACTCAGAAGAAATGGCTGCCAGAATCATTGAGAAATTAAAGAATCTCTTCTCTTTTTTTCATAATAAACTCGCACTTTAACTGGTCATTTCCTAAGAAAAATGATTGATATGAACCGATTGATTGATTAATCATACTTTGTGTTCGGTAAATTTAATAACTTATAGAATATTCAAACCATTATAAAATGATAACCAAATAGGGTAAATAACGTGGTGCTGATGTGGTCGGCTAATAGCATGGGAGACACGACAAAGTATAGTTCACGTGAATGTATTCAACAGATGGCGCGGGAGAATGGCAAGGAGGAAACGTCACGAACTCACCTGGAGGAAGACTTGAGGCGCCTTACATTGACGGAGCCTGAGAAGGTCCCCTTTTCGCAAGTCTTAGCCTACCCCAAGCTTAGATTCAGGGCCATCTTGATCTTTTTCATGATGTGAGTACTGTACATTGAATGTAGAATGACTTTTAACCTGGATTGAATCACTGTTCCTTTGCGGCATCATTGTCCTTGTGTTTCACTACTGTTCTTGTGCTGCATCACTCATTTTCTTGTTAGGCATTTGGCGTTTGGCACTTGTTATCTTATTGTTACTGTTCTAGTTCTTCGCTGGTTGTTTTAGTGCTGCAGCACTTTTTTGCTGCACTGTTTTTATTGTTTTGCATCACTGTTTTGTGTTTGATCGTTTTTCTTGTTATGTGCCGTTCTTCATGTGGTTCACCACAGTTCCTGTACTACGTCAATGTTCATGTGCTACATTATTGTCTTTGTGCTGCAACACTCTTATTTTGCTTCTCTGTTGTCTGGTATTGAATTTTTGATCCTGTGGCCCACTACTGAAAAAATTTGGGCGACCCTGTACTTATGGTTTTATGTGTTCGACAGCTGTCCGCAATCCTATGACACTGCCTCACCCCATCAGTGGTTCCCAAACTCTAGTAACACCAGTCTCCCTCCTCCCTTCCAGGTACTGTATGCACGCAACTTACGGCAGCTTGCTGCTGGGAATCAACGTCATGCCCAGTAACTACTTCCTCAGCCACTTTATATTGTCGATCTCCGAGCTGCCCAGCAACTTCCTGGGGTGGATCATCACACACTACCTGGGTCGCCGCTTCATGTGCTGGTTCACTTATATCCTCCTCGCTGTCTTCGCCGTCGCCGCCACTTTCTGTACTCACGGTAACTTTCCAGCATCATTCTCCCCCTCGGCGTATGGCCAAGTTTCTCCTACTTAAACCATCTGTCATTATAACCTTTGCCTAGTTGATCCATGAAGACTTTTTCTTCTCTGTAGTAGATGCACTGCATAACTTCTTACTGGATACTCAAATATGTAGATGACATCTCATGAGTCAGTGGTACAAGTTTCCAAAATTTCTCGAAGCTGTAACAAATGACATGATATGCAGTTACTTTAAGGATACAAAATCTTTTCTTATGTTAATACTTACAAGATATAGAGTGTGGAAAACGAACCACATTTTACCTTGTTAAAACTGATTTGCAAACATGACATAATACTCATTTAAAACACTGAACAACATGAGAGAGCTGGTTAATTGCTTTAAGGTATTTTTACTGTTTAAGAGAAGCAAATGGCCATGGATGTTAATATCTAAACAGAAGGATAAACATATCACAGCGTCAGGATTTTAACGGAACATAAAGTTAACGTTCGCATCATGTGTTGCTGCAGACGAATGGCTGCTGCTCATTGTTTTGGCGATGGCGAAGCTGCTGGCCACTCAGGGGCTGTACGTGATCTTCGTGTTGGCCTCGGAGATCTTCCCCACCTCCGTCAGGACCTCCGGCATCGGTTTAACCATCGTCTTCGGGACGTTGGGCATGGTCGTGTGTCCCTATGTCCTGAATGTAGGTGTCTGTCCATCTCTAGTTTGAATTATATCTGTGTTTCCTTGTGTGTATGTTTGTATTCATGATCAAAGAATGTCTGATACTTCAGAAGTCCATAAGTGCAAGAATCATAAAGTAACCTTTCTCGTTGATAATATTGGCCATTGTCTGATGTTGATAAAAAATTGCAGGGTCTATTCTAGGCCCAGATGATCTCTTTCATATGGGAAATTTTATTGTGATCGATCAATAATCGGAGATGTTCCTTTGACCTACAGTAGACCTTGATCTTGTCTCCAGTGTTGACCATTATGTCTGGTGATGATGCATACTGTCCTAGTGGTTCTTGATGGTGTCCTTTTTGTTTAGGAAGTTGCAGAACAGACATGAACAGTTTGGTTGTGTGTCCAAATTTGACCTTTTACCTCCAGCTGACCTGGAATATTATGACCAAAAATACGAATGTGAAAAAACTGGGTTCTGTTAATACTAATGATGTGATGTTGATGACGATATCTTATATATGTCTCAAGTTGTTGCCCAAGACGGTTAGGACAGGCGGAGGGAGGGAGGTACTGAGGGAAGGAATGGACGGGAGGAGGGAGGTAAGAAGTGACGTAAGCAGAGGGCCAGAAAGCCGTATGCTATAGTACCCAGCTTCACTGTACAAAGAACCGCTTGTAAGAACACCTTGTATGTTTACTTGCAGTTGGTCAAGTATCTAGTTAAGTATGAAATGAATTTGTTTGTTTAATGTCTCTAAAACTTAAGTTTATATTTAGATAACTCAGTAGTTCAGACTGGTTACCTCAGGTTAAAAATGATACTGCATAAATGTTGATATTAAATTATATATTAAATTCCAGGCATAGGAAAAAATATTGGAGACCAAAAATTGGTCGGGTCGTCTCGACACATCTGGCTTTTTCGATTATATTCACGAGAAAGAACAGAGTTGGTTTGCAGGTTGGTATTCAAATAAAAAACAAATATTATAACAATCAGAAAAATAAATAACGATACAAAATTCTTAAATAAGGCATGGGCAACCTTTCCTCACTCATGGGCTGCATTACTATTTAGGTATTTTTCTGCGGATTAACCCACCAACATTTACATCTAATCTAACCCAAAAGTAATGTTAATATTGTATTAGCACGGACAGTGAAACAGTTTATTGTCACGTCCGCCTTACGATATTTTTAGTTTACAATCACAGTCCTTTTCCAGTTTATGAAACAAATCCATAATAATAATTGTGTATGTGAAATGCTAATGTTTCTTGGCATTTAACAGAAGATGCGTGAAGCAGTCTGTGAATACGTTGATTTTTCCTCCAGTTACAGCTTTTTTCTTACACCCACCAGAATAATGTGAATGTTAATCTTAGCGCATGAGGAACTACAATGAAACAATGACCATCGCCCGCCACCCCACTTGGACTTACCCAACCTTAGTTAATTCCCAAGTGACCCACTGCCCGTAAACTCACAAGTTAAAATGTTTATAGTGTTGACTATTTATAGTTATTTCACTGTTCATTTTCGTAGTTATTTACTCTTAGATGATGAAACAGTAATGAATTATGTGTGAAGATTTTTTTTTAAATATTGCTTTACTCACCACAAGCTGGCTGCATGTACCTGAACCGCGGGCCGCTGGTTGCCCATGCAGCCTAGTTTATTAATCATTTTAATTTTATAACCGAAAACTGAGAATGTATGCGGTTGTGCAATACCTGCGTGCGGGAGGGGAATGTCTCCTAAAAGCTCTCGTAATTCCTCCGTTTGTGTTTAATCAGAGCTACCGCCCATAAGATAAAAGTAATGGGATTAGTCACATTGTCGCTATCTGTTTAAGCAACATCCGGCACGGAGAACGATCTAAAGTACTAGACAACGGTTTATATCTATAAGTGTACTAACCCTAAGTAGTTTTCTTTAGTCATCACTAAACATATACTTTATATGCTTGAGTAGTAATTGATGTATGGTGTTGCAGTCCGGGCTGGGTGCGACCTTCCAGTACTGGGTAATGGCGGGTCTGTCGCTGATGTCGCTGCTGCTCTCCCTGCCAGTACCGGAGACCATAGGGCTGCCCCTCCCCCAGACCTTTCAGGAGGCTGAGAACCTGGGTGCTGGCCGGCCCCTCTCGGCCTGGATCCACCACTGGAACAAGAACGAGTACCCGACCCCATCACCACTGCACCTACTCCCGGATCACCAACAGGAACTAAAAGAGTTCAACCCCAAAAAGCCTTTCGTTCAGTAAGGTGAGGAAAGAGTGTATGTCACCAATACACCTTTTCACATATCCGTTGAGACATTGTTGCATAACTATTTGACAAATTTCATAACCGAATGACAGACAGAACACATATCGAATGACAATCTAAAATAAGTGTTGGTGGTATGTCATTCTCCAATTGTTACATTCTCAAACTATATGTAGACTGTCGGTTTATTGTTCACGTCTGTCAACTTCATAACTTATGTCAATCATTTCCGTTATCATGAACGAACAGTTATTTTAGATTGTCATTCGATATGTGTTCTGTCTGTCATTCGGTTATGAAATTTGTCAAATAGTTATGCAACAATGTCTCAACGGATATGTGAAAAGGTGTACATCGATGCCAGCAGAGCGAACATAGTGAGAAAAAAGAAAACAGAAAACTTTATTTTTGTTGGGCGAACACGACCCTACAAGAGGCACTGCTCGCTTTGTTCCCCTACCACTATGTTATCTTTTATTTTGAAAACATATTGAACTTTCGACTCAAGGAAATACTTTAAAAGTAGCATGAAGCTTTCAGTTTAAAGATGAGACATTCTTCCTATGTGAGCCAGAGTCTTATTCCTACTTAAAATATTTTTTCTAGTTTCCTGAAGATGTGGAAATTCTAGTGAGTTAATTTTTTTTCACCTTTTCCATGTGCAAAATGTAAAAAATATTTTGTTTTCAAATTTTTTTTCCAAGTTTTTAAGACAAAATTATTTTTAGCAAATAACAGCACATCATGCATACCTTGTTTTACCTGTATGAGAAAATGTAAGCATTGAAAAATGTTAATGATACATTCATGTGGTGCTATGCTTGCTGTTAGGCTGTATTGACCAGTAGGCTTAAGACAGGGATAAGAAGAGCAAAGAGAAATAGTGAACTAAAGGTAGCAAGAGAAGCGAAGTCAACCCCAAAGAGATTCTTCCAAATGTTTCAAACTAAAACAAACACGAGACAAGACTGAACCAATGCAGTCAGATCCCGGCGAACTAACTGACAACGACGGAAAAATGAGCAATGTATAATCTAAACAGATATTTTTCAACAGTTTTCACCACCGAAAATTTAAACATGATCCCGAGGCACCGACTATATACTGAGATAGTGAAGAAATAGATTAAGCGAGATAGAAGTGACTAGTAACGATGTTAATAAAATATAGATAAACTAAAACTTACTAAGTCACCACGTCACCCATTAATAATGGGTGCAGTACCAGAATCCTGGAGGATAGCGAATGTGATACTGATTTTCAAGAAGGGAGATAGATCACTATCCTTAACTACCGCCCAATCAGCTTAACACTAATTGTAGGCAAATTATTGGAAGCAATAATTTCAAACTCAATTCGAAATCACGTCGAGAAACGCAAATTGAGCAATGGTTCCCAGCATGGCTTCACAGTGGGCGTTCATGTCTGACATTCTTATTATCATTCATTTTAAGTGTTTTAGAATCAGTGGATGACGGATACGATTAGGATGTGGCTTACCTCGACTTTATTTAAGCCTTCGCCAGGGTCCCCCATGAAAGCCTAAAGACGGCGGGCGGCACACTGAGCACTTTCCTCCAAAGATATTGCCCATTTTGCTGGCCGCTGGCCTGATAGCCCAGCAAGCAGCAGGATTACGGCTGTTGTTAGAAATGGACAGGGGTTTGCTGGCGAGCTTTATTGACGGATTAGTGCACAAATGAGCTTTCCATGTAATTTCAAGTAAAAAAATGAAATAAATAACGAAACAATAATAATATAAAATATAACACATAAAACGGTGACATGTTTCTCTTTATTCGTCACTTTAAAACTTCTGTAGTATTATTAAATTATTCAGGGTCTTCTTTGACCAGCAGCCGTCGCCATTTTTAAAAACTCTCGACGCACCCATTGTCCTTTCTTTAGCTTTTGCAGACGCCTCTCACTTGCTTCAGCAATTGAAGAACTATAGCACAATCCTGCAAGGCCTCAACTGTAGTAACGGAATCCATGGCGAACCTCGTCTAGACGCTTTGTTGTTGTTTTCTTTGCCTTGGGCAGACGGGGCAACAAAATATCCCAGTGTGGCGCAAACGTCTCTTTGTTTTGCTGGACGGACAGTGTTTGACAAACATGTTGGGAGGAAAAGTGCGCAGTGTGCTGCCGCCTTAATACGTGAAGTGGGGGCTCTTGGAAATGGAGGAGATATTCTAAACTGGATTATAGGGCGTGGTTACAGGACAGGAAACAGAATAAACATTAGTGGTTCTAAATCGGATTGGGGGTAACGTCACTAGTGGAGTACCCTAAGGCTCAGTATTTGGACCATTAGTATTTATTATATCCATAAGCGACATCGATATAGGCATAGACAGCAACATAAGTATATTTGCTGATGACACTAAAATAGGGCCTGTGATTAAATCTGACGAGGACTCCGCAAAACTACAGGAAGATCTAAACAAATTTTTCGCATGGTGTGAAAAATGGCAGATGAAATTTAATGTGGAAAAATGTAATGTATGTAGATAAGGAGATGTAAACAGAGAAACCAGATATCAGATGAACAACGTTGATATAGAGAAAACCGACTGTGAGAAAGATTTAGGGGTAATGATAAGTAGGAATCTTAAACCAAGACAACAATGCCTATTTGCTCGAAACAAGGCTAACAAAGTACTTAGATTCATACAAAGGAGTGTTAGTTAGAAGCCTACTGATTTATCGATGAAGGCAGCTCAGTGTGTTTACCTTTAGGTCACCGACCCGCATCGAAGCCTGGGGGAGGTAAAAAGAAAATAATAAAAAATAAACACAGTACCGTAATGGACAAATTAAAGAAAACAAAGAGTGAGAAACGATATATATGTTATGTTGTCAAAATAAGAGAAACAATTGAAACCCTGCAATTGTTTATAAATAAGGCAGAAAGTCAGATAGCAACCTGGGACTTGATCACAATTTCTGTGGTGCCATATGGCAGCAAGGTCTACCATTAGATAACACAATATTCTTCCAAATATCTTCCCAGGTGGTAGTACCTCCCTGTTTGATAGCTGCTGGGATATCTCTTTATTGATATCGAAACTTTATACATTTTCTTTGAACACGTTTTTCTCTTCCTATATACTCTCTATGTTTCGTCATAAGATGTCAGAACCAGGAGTATATTGTTATCAAACACACACATTATTATTGCCATAACCACGGGTGATGTGGACCCGAACACTCACTGATTCGTAAACCTCCAGCGTAGTTGGGGTGTAAAAACACATCTAAATGGCTCTTTCCAAGACTCACTTAAATGGTGTTATAACTGTATTAAGACTCAAATAATTCATGTTTTGTTTCTCTCTCTCTGATCCCCATTTACTAGTATAAAAAATTCATGTCCAAATTTTTTAGAAATCGGGTCCCTGTGACGTGGCCTAGGGACATTGGGCCCTAAGCTCATGTGACCGTGGTTGGAGATCTCACGTCGATTTCTTAGGGTTCGACGTCACTGTGGAGGGTTGCAGCGCTCGTCTTGGGGGGAAAGAGGCTGTTAAGGAATTCGACCAGTTTGCCGCTCTTATTGATCTTGTCCTCCAGTATATCGAACAACTCTGGTCCATGCTCGCTGAAGAACTCGTTAAACACCTCACCCAGGTCACTCTCTGGCATCAGCCCCTCGAAGTCTACCTGTGGGAGCACACTTACGTTACGACATACACATGCCTGGGGTGTAGATAGGAAAAAATATCAGTCGAAAACTCGCGTAACCTAACTTAGCCTAACCTACCTAACCTGATCAATGACTTTTTGTCCCATGAGCTTTTGTTTGTGCACCACCTAGCCTGGGGTCACTGCACACACCTTGGGTCACCATTCATATGCTTAATTACTAAACATACTAAAGATCACTATACCTACCTGGGTTCAAAACACACATACACACACACACACACACACACACACACACACACACACACACACACTTGTATCACCACGCACAAACTACATCACCACACTCCTGAATCACCACATACAGTATTACTACGACCTTGACACCACACACACACACACACACACACACACACACACACACACAAGTAATAATTTCATATATAGTTTACACATACCTTGTACCGGAAACAACATTAATATTACTGCATTTACTAAACAGCTAAATATGACCTGTAGGATGAAATATAGACATCTATTAAGGTAAAAAAATAGCTTACTATTTTTTTGTGTGTGTGTATGACCCATAAATGCTGTCAATCATGGTCCTTTTGTCTTTTTATGAACCCCAAAACTTACAGATTTACTTTAGTGGAGTTTCGAACAATCTATTTTTACACAAAACAGAGAATGGCTGGACACGTTTACACACAGTTGCGCGCGTGCTGCAAGAGAGACTTCCATACCGAGGATTCCCAAGTGATACACGTATATTATCCTAGAAACTTTTTCACCTTTATATTATCATTACGTAGATTTATAATGTTTTGGTTAATTAATGAATAATCATGAAGAATAAATATTTAACAAAAGTAGACTTATCATTAAGAGGGTAAGTTTCAAGTACTGAAGATGTCTTGGTGTTTGCTGTAGATATAAGGGGTGAATGTAGAAGATTGTTTAAAGTTAAGAAATATAACTGAACATAAAGACATACAGTACGTAAATAAATGATAAGAGGAAAAGTTAAGCTTACCATACCATTAATATATAACTAAAGGAAACATATTCATGCAGTTGCCATCGCGTAAATAATTTTTTTAGAAATCCTAATGGAGACAACATTCAAAATTTACCTGAGACATGTTTTATATGTATGTATGTATGTATGTATGTATGTATGTATGTATGTATGTATTGTATGTATGTATTGTATGTATTGTAATAGCAATCTATGAATTAAATTTCTTGAAAACTTTTGATTGGTCATAAACGTTCAAATAGATAAATATAGTAAATAAAAATTAAAAGTCAAATAGAAAACCTAACGAAAACTACTTTGGTATCATTTGGCTGTCTTGTAATGGTAAAGGACGTTATAAATGAAATGAGTAATTTTTACCGTACACGAATTAATTTCCATAAAGGTTTAGCAATAAGAACAAATATCCCATTTCGGTTAAAAATGGTAATTGTTTTTTAAAGCTTAATCAGCAATTATCCCCATTTACCGTGACATATACAGAGAGAGAGAGAGAGAGAGAGAGAGGCGTTAACAACTTACTGTCCAGCGCCTCATCTCCAAGTCAATGATCGCGCTGTCCACCACCATAGTGATAACTTTTCCTGAGATGTTGATGATACCTTTTACTGCCACACTGAGATCAAAGTCATCGATAATAAACCTGAAAGAGAAGAAACCTATAAAACAGATGATCTACAATGTATTGAAAGAGAGAAGAAGAGGGGGGGGGGGGAGGACAAGTCATGACTGAATAGGTACGGGAGTGTGCAAACTGTTTGAGGTATCTTTTATAAGACTATATGAGGAGTACATGAAGATAGCTTCGACTAAAGGTCCACTTCAATCCCATGTTCATTTTACTGTTAGTATACTATCCATAAAAGGATAAATACTTACGAAAATCGAAGTCTAATTTTATACAATTTTTTAGGGATTTGAAAACAACCCCCTTCTCTTTGTGATAACTCTTCTCTATCAAATCAATTTACATTATTTATTCTCGTATTTTTTTTATTTGTTTGCTAAGGAGACCACCAGGAAAAACTTTTATATTACTATATTACCTGTTGAGTTTTCCCATTCCAGAAGGACAACGGGAAAGGAACATTGTATTAAGTTTTCGAGGCAGATTTTCAAATATAATTGGAATAAGTAAATATGTATGCTTCACTGATTCATAATTATAATAAAGAAAGAAAAAGACAATTAAGTACAGGAAATACTAACGATGCAGGTCCTTTGCCGTGTAAGTCGATGTGGTCGACGACGGTGCCGTTGATGACGTAGGCCGGAGTCTTAATCTTGAGCTGCGGCGACTGGAACTTGAGCACAACGCTTTTCTTGTCGTTTCCTGCATCGTCGTAAGTACAGTCATGGGCAGTAAAGCTCTTCACGCCTGCCAGTGTTGTCTTCTCCATGTACAGTGTAACGCTGTACGGATATGTGATATTATTTATTACACTTTAAATGACTATTACGCACACACACACACACACACACACACGTGTCTCCATGACCAGCCCAGGCCCGGGCCATCAACTGAAAACTATAATAATTTGTATGTTCAATCATTGTTCCTTCTTCTTTCAGTAATGAAAGCTTTTGTTAAACGACCCACCCACCCCATGTCTTTGTATGTAATAAGTCATTTTTGTCCAAAGTATATTTTCAGCCCACGGGCTGCAGAACTTTTTCAATTGAACTGTTAATTATTATTATTATTAAGACCTTCAATTGAACTGTTAATTATTATTATTATTAAGACCTTCGCACTTACTCGGCCATGTAGGGTGCATCGATTCGGAGGTTCAGGGGATCCTTCAAGTTCAAGGGGTCGTCAACGGAATTCAGGATGAATGTTAAAATCTCATTAATTATCGTTGTAAATTCGTCATTTCCTTTGGAATAAAGAAAAAGAAACACCAAGAAATTGATTAGTGAACAATACATTAATAAATTAATAATCGAATGAATAAAACGCAATATATATATATATATATATATATATATATATATATATATATATATATATATATATAAATAATTATTCAAAATAAGGAAAGCGTACAAGGAGTTGATGTGATCAGCCTTGCATTCCATCGCGTTCACTTCCCAATTGTAAAGTTATGTACCCATTTGAAACTGGGTGAACTAGGGGCACTTAAGGCACGAACCAGTAACTTTTAGGGCAGTAAGCGAGCGTTGTATCCACTCAGCCAATCATGACCCCAGTCACCTCCTAAGAACTTAGCAGTACAGTGGTACCGGGCTCGTCTCTCACCAATGCGCCCCCGATTCGATTCCCAGGTCGGATGTGAGAAGAGTAACATCCAGAGTAACCTTTCCAAACATTGCACGCTTTCTACGGGTACTGGACAATGAAGGTCGTAACAGAGAACAGACAAGTTACAGTAGCAAGCTGACAATTGGTCAAAATGATAAATGAAAACAATAAAAATTAATGAACTTGTGTGACCCCATCTTGACACCCGTGACCTTTATTTTTCATCCCATTAAGACACCCATCGCCCTATGTGATCCCATCCTGTCTAGATCTCAGAACCTCACTTCACCCCACCCATATCCGCACGACTCTACTTTGCTCCTGTATCCTCATCTAGATCCACGTAACCCAGTAACACTCCACTTTTACCCCAGTGACCGTTTGTAGTTCCCCATGACACTGTGTTACCCCTATGACATGTGTAGCATCACCTAGATCACCAAATGAATCCACGTGACCTCACCTGGAGACTGTAGGTAACCTGGGGCAGCTTGTGTGCCCTGCAGTAGAGCCAGCACCATTACCACCACCATACCCAGCCTCGTTGTTGGTCCCATCTTGTTGTCTGCAATGTTAAGCTCATTATATGCCACACAAAATGGGCAAGTAAAACAAAAAGACGAAGTATTTGTGTTCGTCTGGCTGATGACTCTCCAACAAGATAAACATATCCTGTATTATTCAGTAACTCCTACACTTGACTGGACAATATATTAACCTTTCGTCAAGTTATTAGCGTGGACAACTGCAGCAGACACCAGCGTGACCTCTCAAGTGGGCAGGAGGAAGCTGAATGACAGTGGTTAAACACACTGGTGATGCTGAGAGCTTTCAGTTCCCACAGGTTCCCTCGCGCAGTTGACCCTGCCCCAACCTCACTACACTATTCTAACCCGCCACTTCTGTCCTCCCATACTCTTTCCACCACACATTATAACAAACATTTTCTCTCACCCATTCTCTCCTTTCAAACTCAATTATCTTAAAAGACCTCTGTAATGAAACTATTTACCGGAAATCAAAACCGTACATTAATTACACTTTAAGCTTCAATGTTTACGAGTGAATATAAAAACAAACGAGGAGAAGTTAATGGCAGGTGAGTACTAGTACCGTAATGCAGCTGGTCGTCTCCCACATATCTGTTGTTTTTACTTTTTTACCTTTTTATCCTCTTCGCCACTAATCGGCTCGTTCGCCACTTGGGTGGGCGGTCACGACTGTGTTACGCACTGTTGGCAAGTACTGGGTATGCACTGGCTCCTGAATGTATCTGTACCTGCTCCAGTGTTGGTCAAGTCTGGTCTGGAAAGAGCTCACAGCTCACACTCGGTGCCGTCACAACACTCTCTAGCAGATTTGTATATGTATTTTTAAAAGTAATATCTAGATATAACAAAGTCCATATTCTCAGGTTATCTATTGTTATCAAAAGAAATTTCACCTTATTGGTGATCACAGGGTTCGTCATTATACGAACTGGCCTGTACTATCTGCAGTAAACCTATGGACTTTAGCACAACCTACTCGAACACCTGTACTCGGTCAGGAACATATACCAACAGGAACATACACTGTCGACTAACACATACGTTCTGTATAGATTGCAAACACACGACTTAATAAGAAACTTTTGGCAAAGTTTTGAAGGTGACATCACTGTTTTCCCCCTTCAGTAACCCAAGTTAACCCAGTGGCGTGAGTCGTAGTATAAATACATTTTAAATTCAGTAATAATTACACGGATGTCTTTCTGTTATACGTAAAGATGATATGACCTGATAATGTACGTTACTCCTAAATGACGAGTAGGATTATTAGCCTTTTTAAATGCTTCTACCTGTACTTCTATCCATCCATTGTTTTCTTTTTATTAATAAAATTAAATAAAAGTAGATTATTTCCCCCAGTGCTATGATTAAACGTTCCGACAACTTTATTACACCACTTGTTTTTGCGTCGTGTTTCTAAAATTAATCGACATATCCAAACTAGAGCGATGTGTCACATATGAGTACAGGAGCTGATATTATTCTAAGAAAGGCAAGCAATATCAAAACAGGTTATATACAACAATATATTAAATTTGAGAATTGTGTAACATTGCAGCTCTACGTTCACTGTGCAAGAACCCAAATGGAGGACGCATGTCGACAATTTACCTTAAAGAATGTAATAATCAGTGCGACAAGTATTTTGAATATCCTTGGTGAGTGAAGGTCCACGAGTGATTGATTGCCACATCACCGTCGGAGGAACAGCAGGTGGTGGTAAGGACGGTGAGTGGCGCCACCTGTACCTTCACACGTACAGGTATTGTAACTTATTTACAGGTAGGGGTAGTCGGTTAGAGGCCCACTCCGGCATTCCCAGTTATACATACATACTGTACATACTTCCTTGGTAGTTGTTTATGATTGACACTAGTTTTATGCAAATGAATGATGAATTGTTCAAATCATCGCTTGACTTGACACTGACTTTTTATTCTATTTTTATTTCTTTTTCATATCACCATTTATTAACTTTACTAGCCGTTCAAGTTGTTGTCTGTTCTATGTTGATGTTATAATGTATTAATGCGCTTCAATAACTCAAGCCACATAAGGGGTCACAGCTCAAGATTAAAGAAGGCGCAGGACCAGAAAACTGTGAGGGCAAACTTTTTCGGAGTGAAAGTTGTGAACTCTTGGAACAATCTACCAGAAAGTGTTGTAACGGCACCGAGTGTTAGCTCTTTCAAGACCAGACTTGACCAACACTGGAGCAGATTCAGGTACATTCAGGAGCCGGTGCATGCCCAGTACTTGCCAACAGTGCGTAACAGACACGTGACCTATGTACCAAGCGGCTAACGAGCCGATCAGTGGTGACGAGGATAAAATTAAAAGTAAGTCTGTCGGCACTTTAACTGATATTTAGTATAAAGACACTTGGATTTTTTTTTTTTTTGTAAGTTGCAACCCCAAGCATTCTTCTCCTGTAATTTTTCGATGCTAATTTTTTAAGTTAATTCCCAATTCCATATTCACACCCGGTTGGATTTTTTTTGAGTAGCCCACCCAGGCAGCTGTCACCAACCCACATCGGGGTCTAGGGGAGACAAAAAAGAAATGAACCAAAACTAAATACAGAAATTGAAAAAAAAAATCAAGAGTGAGAAACGATATATATGTTGTTATCAAAGAAAGAGAAACAATTGAGACCCTGCAATTGTGTGTAAATGAGGCAGAAAGTCAGACCAGCAACCTGGGACTTGGTCACAATTTTCGTGATGCCATATGGCAGCACGGTCTACCATTAGACAACACATTATGCTTCCAATATCTTTCCAGGCGGTAGTACCTCCCTGTTTGATAGCTGCCTACTACCTAGCCCGAGATTCTTAGAACAAAATGAGTGCAGTTAATGGGAAGCTTGACAAGTCTCCAAGGCGAGAATAAGGTGTTATGAGAGGAAAGTTGGTGCATTTTAAAGGAAGGTTAGGATGTTATGGGAAGATGTCTTGAGGAACAGTTAATGTGTTATGAGGGAAAGTTAACATAGTGTGAGTGAAAGTTAATGTGTTATAGTGGTGAAAGTTAATGTTATAGTGGTGAGATTAAATGTTATATGGGAATGTTAACATGTTATGGGGGTAGATAGTCTAAGAAAGGTTAATGTGTCCTCAGGGAAAATAATCATGTTATGAGTGATGGTCATCATGTTATCCAGAAAGATTGTCCAATTAGAAAGGTTCATGTGTTATAATGAAAATTTAACATGCTATGAGGGAATGTTTAAGTGTTATAGAGGGAGGCCATGGTATTACTCTATAACAAAATGGTTTATTTGCTACAGTATAAGGGAAGATAGTGTGTTATACGGAAGTTATAATGTGTAGTGAGGGAAGGTTAATGAGCTATATAGAAGGTCGACATGGCATAAGAGAAGGTTAATATGGTATAAGGAAAAGTTAATGAGTCATGAGGGAAGGCTAATGAATTATGAAGAAAAGTATAAGAGGAGAGGATATTGGGTGCTCGGATGACCCTTATCTCACGGAGGATGGGAAGAACGCAGCTGTTCACCTAAACCAAGTGGGTGTACTCACTCCTGGTAGATGACAGTAGTTCTTGATCAGAGCCACGGGTCCTCCAGCCCATAGGTTAACCCTTTCACTATGGGATACCACTTTTAAAACTAAACAATTAACCAAAGCAGCTAAGCTAATTAATTTTTCTCCTCCTCCTATTCCTGTATTATTAGTATTAGCACTACTGTACTTCTGACTAACTTCGAAAATTCATGATAATTTGTATCCCACCCTGGCTGGATTACTGAAAGCCATGCATTTGCAGAATATGTGCTAATAAGCCAATGCTAATTATACCAAATACAACTTTGCCATTTGGAGTCATTTTTCACCCAGATTATTTTACGAAAGAATGTGTTGTGTAACCTAGAAAAGGAAAAAAAAAGTTTTAAATTACACTGTACCTGTCACCCACATGTACAGTATTCGTATACACCTTAAAACTTACTACTATGCCCTAATTGGTCTGATTCTGATAACACTGCTCAACAGCATATCCAGGTGTACGATAAAGCTCAACTCTGCCCCCCTCCTAACCTGTGGCTCGGTGTTGTATTTCCATCACCCTACTACTACCGTACTGTCTGTTTCGCCCATACTGTAATGACCTTCCAGCACTTGACGGGCAGCAAATCAAAAACGATGATAACCCCCATTGTGTCTATACAGTCCTTTGGCATTACCCATTACTTTCATGAGTACAGTACTGTATATCTTCTTGTTATTAATCATGTAATTATCAATCTTCATATTATTACAGTATTATCATTTTATTATAATTATTAACTTTCAATGTTTATTTGTATTCTGTTCTCATTACATCAGTTTAGGTACAGGTTACAAAGCAATATTTATGACTTAGTGGTTAAGATTGACAACCACACTGGGCATGATTGAAAAACATTAGTGTGCGGTATAAGGTGTGATATCACCTTATTATACCGCCTATATTTCACCATCCAAAGTTCCCCGCCCCTTCATCACCTTTCCTCCCACCCTATTTCACAGACTTCTTATCTTCCCAATCCTGCCTCTCTCCCTCTGTTTCCAGCTAAACTTTTCTATTTATCCCTGCCCCTCTTAACAAGACAAAATATTCCCTTGCAAACACAACATCCTAGGTTCAATTTATTTGCAGAACTGTTATGCTTAAGCACTTAATAGGAGCCTTATTATGCTTCATGATCATAAATGCAATTATATAACATGAAACACTAATGAAGATATTAATATAAAGCCCCAAAACCTTAGAACCAGACTGTGCAACTCCCTCATGACCACTTGCAAACCACTTCCAAACTTGCACAGGACACTAAACTTGGGCTCTACATCATTGAAATGTTGTATGTCACTTGTGAACATCCACAGGTTATAAATACAGGAATACAGAATTCTCTTCAGAACTGATAACTATCATAAAATTTATTGTAACTTTCTTCCTCACAATCACTAGAAAAAAAAAATACAATTACAGAAGGCAAATTTATTTTATCAGTTACTAGATTGCAATGAGATTTAATGGCAAGTGTTATACATAATATTATAAGGGTGATTCAGCAAAGACTACATTAAATTGGAGGATGAAATGCTTGGATAATTCTAAACCACAATGCCTCTATGGTAAAATGTCAGGTTCTGCATAGTTTCCATGTTACAATACATTTAAGATGTTGTATTAATGAGAGTGAATTTGAAGTAAAACCCCGTAGGTTTTTGTAATCATTTATTCACAGATCTCTACAGTGTGACCCCTCTTTGTTACAACCTAAAGGAAATGTTTAAAGTTGCCCCCTTCTGACATTTTACCATAGAGACATTGTGGTTTAGAATTATCCAAGGATTTCATCCTCCAATTTAATGTACTCTTTGCTGAATCATCCTGTATACGTATAATTAGTCATAAATTTCAATAATTAAACACACAAGAAAATAGGATCTAAACATTTATGAAAAGGACTGTCTACTGCATCTTACTGAACTCAAATTATTTTCATGATTAACGAATGAGTCCACTAATTACTCAGGGTACATCCATATACTGTAGTTGGTGTGCATTATAACCTTAGTTATAAAAATATTTGTTGTGCTATTTATATTCATTTTCCTTTCGTTCACTTCTGTGGTGAGCAATTACTTAAAAGCTGTCTCTTTTAAATTTACATTTCTACAAACAATGACAAAATTCTTACAACAAAACAAAAGAGGTGAAATGTAAATAATACAACTTTCTTGTATTACTCTCATGGTGCTAGGTCCCAGTACTGTACCCAGAATCCCCCTCACAGTTGGCCAGAACCTGGGATATTGGCTGTCCAGCAAAAAAAAATTTCACCAAAGCAAGTTTTCCAACCATGAATTGATATTTATAGAATTTCAACAATGTCTATAAATACAAAAGCATGTAAGGAATGGATTTTAGAAAACAAAAGGTGGCCATGACAAGAAAGGAGGCCAGTGGCCTGTGTAGGATCCCTCCATTGTTCTTGATAATTTTGTCAAGGACCATTTTGAAGCCCAGTACAGTACTGTTTTTTATTCCACAACTTGAGCTGGTAGACTGTTCCACAGGTCTACCACCCTGTGAGAAAAAGTATTTCCTTATACAGTATTCATTTATGGTGTTGTTAGAATTTATGTCCCAATTCTCATGCATCAATAGTGGATAGTGTTTTAATACCAAAATTTGTATTTTGTGGATGGAACTATTGAGTTCAAGACCTTTGAGTGTAGAAAAACTTTCAGACATGCCAGTTGCATCCAAGACTGTGAGTGTTAAAAAAGTTGATTTTACTATTACCTATGTTTGTAATTTGTCTCTGGATTAAGGAACCTTTTTCCAACAATAAATAATAATAATAAAAAAAATAAAAAAATGGTACCTGTATACTATTCTGCTAATGTGACAACACACGTGCCCTAAATCCTTCAATCATCAAAGCTCAGATATTGGGGTGGCCTTATCAAAGGGGCCAATTTCAACATTGGAGAAGATGGAAGGTTATCCACCACCACCACCACATAAACATACATGTTTGTATGAAGAAATATTTTATCAAAATCAAAATTTTTCTTCCTCACAGCATGATTTAATTACAACAGATGCCTAAAATGTCAAGAGGATAAGAGAAATAGGAGAATATGATGCATTATTTGAGTGGAAAAGAAGAACCTAACAAGAAATTAGATCCATGGTGTTTCAAACAGACACGGGGATTACCTCTGATATGGTTTAAAAAGTTGGTTTATATAACATATTTTTGATAAAGGTAAAATTTACTTTTAAAGAGTGTAAGAAGCACATAAAAGTGGTCTTGTTAGAGCAGCAACAGAAATACAAGTGAATGTGAATGCAAATACACACTTGTCTCTCTAACAATAATAAGTCATGTTATTGGAGTATTTATTGGTGAAGGACACAGATACTGGAACTGCCTAAAATTTCCTTTGCCAAATTTGGCAATCTACCAGATTTTCACACCATTTATATTAAAAAATGCATCCAGAGAATGAAAATTAAATAAGCTTCTGTTATAAAAATCACAATTGTGAGGATGAAAAATATTCTGCAGTATATTGAAAGAATTCAACTCTTATTTGTTTCTACTGTATTTGTGAAAGCTTATTCACCCAACCAAACAAATGCATGCTAAATCTAATTTTAAAGATCATATGAAGTTGGATGATAAAGTTCACTCAGTTGTCGATATACATAAGATGGTGCAATGCCACGACTGTAAAAAGAAAGAAAAATTAGATTATTTAGACAACATGAAAATTAAGTAAATGTACAGTACAGTGTATTGACAGGATATATACCAAAACAAATGATGGTCATATAATGTGTGTGCCTACACTTTTCTGTAAAAAATTTCCAGGTATGAATTGTTGAAAAATAAATGTCATCCCTGTCTCATAATAGCCAGCACTACAAAATAAGAGGCATTCCAAGGCTGCTAAACCACCTGGCCTCATTATGACTATAATATCCTACCTTCAACCCACAGCACCAAAATCCAGTAACTGGGTATGTATATTTCAACTAGAAATCATGAAGATTCACATTACAGTATAAGTAAGTTACAGTAATTAAGGTAATTATCATGCAGTCATTTATATAGGGCACTGTCTTCCCTCTGCCATACAGTCTCCAGGTTCCACATAAAGTATATGGATTAACATACAACTGCAATAATATCTCAGTCAGCCAGAATCCCTCTTAGCTAGAACTCTCCAATAGCCAAAATTGCAATTCCGAGTTTGGGAAAAATTTTCTGAAGTTGAAAATCAGGCTCATTTTCTTGAAAATCCTGAGAAAAATTGCAGAACCCTTTCTCTCTCTCTCTCTCTCTCAAAAAATACAAAATAAATAAATAAAATAAATCCCCGGGTCTGGGAACAAATTCCGAGGTTGAAAATCAGGCACATTTTCTGAAAATTCTAAGAAAAATTCCGGAAGTCTCCATTTTTTCCGGGTTTTGGAGTAAACTCAAGGGATAAAATAATGTGTAATTCTGGAAACTCTCTCCAAATTTCTTTCTGATCTGGGAGCAAATTCTGAGGATGAAATTATGCACAATTTCCAGAAAATTACAAGAAATTTTTCCCAGGTCAGTGCCTGGAAAACTTCCCGGAATGGGGGATTTTTTCTAGGTTTGAGAGTTGTTTTGTTAACCGGAAATTTCTCATTCCCAGAAGGGCTCTGCACCAATTGTTCTGGCTAACGGGGATATCAATTATGTTGTAATATTTTGAGAACGATGTGCATGAGATATTTAATAATAAAATGGTTAAAAGCATCAAACATGATGATAAAAAAATATATATATATGTCTGCATAAAATACAAATTATACTTACTTGTTTGTAATAAAACTAGTGACATTTTCTGGAGGGACATAGTCAAACTTTGCCACTACAACATTAACAGAGGATGTCAGATTTGAGTCTTGGGGAACAATAGTACTACCACTGCCATGATGATTCACTTCCTCTGAGCTCACCAGGCTGAATTTGTATGTTGGAGTGCAGACATATAACTGATGAAGAATCAACAAAAAAAAAAAGAGTAAGGTTATGTAAAGAATCAGTTACCTGGAGAATATCAATACTGTAGTCTAGGAAAAAAAATGCTTAAATACTGTATTATCAAATAAAACATTGTAAGAAACTCACATCAGCATGGTTCGGGCTATGGGTGTTACTTGTATTATATACATGTTTATTCCAGACACATGGAATACATTACCAATCAGAAAGTCCACCACGCCACCTATGACAAAAATACAAACTACACCTGCATGGCTAACATATCCCTCATATTGATAAACACTGAAAAACAGCAAGGCCAACTTAATTTACTACTGTTACACACAGGAGGATAGAGCACTGTAGAGGATCTCAGTCCCTCCAGTCTCCTGCATCCTGCATGTACAGTAGTCAAACAACTGCCAACTGGCAATGCGATAGTATTTTTTATTTCTTTATTTATTAGTGTATTTTTCATTTATTCCTTACATTTACTGGTACTACAGTATACACATGACCCTGGTCTCCAATAGCCTTGGATAATAAGGACTGTACAGTACTGTATATCGAAAAATACTATACTGTATGTGGTGAAAGTTGCAAGCTGGGAACACATCCCCATCTATTTACATTAATTCTTAAGGGTTCTGCACCCAAACCATCCTCTGAGCAACGTGACAGTTCAACCAAGCAGCCACCCAGCCGACTCAGAGACGTGTGTCTACTGCGCAGTGTGTGTGCCAAAGAGTCACATCAGAGGAGGCAGAGCAACTAGGGTGGTGATGCAGTTACAGCCCATTGCCTCCACACGTGTTCACTTTCCAGACATACACACCCATGCTGTTCATTTTTCTAATTCATAGATTTAAAATATATTTTCTTTCTTTCTAACTCTTATTAGAGTATTAGAATGATTTTTCTACCAATTTTATAGTTTCATTACATGTAACAAAGGCAAGATGCATAGCCATCTCATAGATCATCTTATCCTACACCACCACCATCTTCCAGTCTACATAAAAAATGACCTGTACCGACTCTATACTATATTTATAGTGAAACATATTAATGTACATTTACGTATTATTTGTGTGTATTATGTTAGTGAGAAAATGGTTCAGAATTGGGTCTTGGGACAAGGTCTGGAACCTACCCCCCTTTGTACCATGTTAAAATAGATTTGCTTTAAACACCCTTTTCTAGGAATGCATCCCTCGTTTAAAGTGAGGGAGTATTGTACAGTACAGTAATAACTTGTCTAAGCAAAGCCCTAAGATCACCAGCTGAGATCAGTTTGGAAAAAATATTTGGTTCTGTTTCATTTCTTATTTTTACATTTACAGTATCACAATAGTAAAGACAACAAAAATCACAATATTACTAACCGGAACTGAATAAAACTTTGCTGCTGAAGCCAAGGGGGCTGCACCAACAAATGTTTTGATCCCACCATTGCTTAAAACTGTCTGAGTACCAATTATAACCTTATTGACACGAGACATCATGGGAAAAACAGCACAGTCCTGTATCAGGGTGGTCTGAATACCAGCAGAACAAAGAGATTTTGCCATTGGATGACCCTGCAAGAGAATTATGATTTCCATTAATTTACTTTTTCTTAATAGAAAATGATAGGAGTGGAATGATAAAAGGACAAGGATGCAATTTTGGCAACGCTTGCATAGTACTGTACAGTATATATAATATGTAGGAAGGATATATGTGGAAGGAAAGGCAAGTACAATGAGGATGTTCCACTGTTTCAAAGAATGGGAAACAAAAGTTAAGAGGGAAAAGGATGTTTTCATGTGTGAATTTTTGGCAGTGCAGTGATAAGAAGCACCCGAGAACTGAGAAGCTTATCTGAGTTTGAATGAGTGGATTAAATTTTTTCCTTGCATATGCATATCGGAATAGGGAAATTATGTTGACAGTGGATAAACAGAGTCAAAGACTTAAGGATTTATGGATAATAGTTGGATAATAGTTATCAATTAATTTCAATTAGTGATGTTGCATCCCTTTTGGTACTGAAAACTCAAAGCAATACCTGTTTATATATTATGTAATCAAGAATATTCTATAATTGTCTAGCTATCATGTGTATGAACAATTATTAAACATTTATGGTGAAAATGAGACAACATAAGAAAATCATGAGCATCCTCACTGTTCACAACAGGAAATACAGAAATTTGAAAGCCAACAAGAACAAAAATTATCTTACGAGTGTTGAGTATGATATTGTGGACAGTACCTGTTGAGTTGCAAAACTGATTACGATATAAAAAGACCAACAAGAATTATACAAAAAAGGTCACTATAAATTAGTAATCAATTTAGTTAATAAAAAATGAGTACTGTACATGAAATCCTCAAGCTGGAGCCACTGTCAAGAATTCATGGCATGAATTGATTTAGGGTGAGGGACAGTCAGTAGAGCTGGTTGAACTGATAGTTATGTAACTAATATAAGTAAGACATCTTAGACTTTATTTTTTTTCTATTTTTTATTATGGAGAGAAGGATATACTGTCATGAGTGCATAGCCTTTCTTTTACCATTTACTAGAGTTGTGATGGGCATTATACTATGTTAATTACAGCAGGTTTTTGAGAAACAAATACTGTACTGTATTATGTTTTGCATTTAATAAGGTTCAGTACAGTCTTTGGGAATTAAACAGTTTCTCTCTTTTACTTGACTAAGATTTGTCTGAAAAACATATATATTTTCCATATTTTTGGGGGGGAGAAGGAAGACTGTACGGGAGCTAGTTTATCCAACTGCTCTATGAAAAAACAAAAACAAAAACACTGCATCTAACTAAAATTAACAATATTATGTACAGCCAATCTAAAAAGTATCAAGACCCCTGGGTCCGGTAGAAAAGGAAACAAGCGATAATCTCAGATGAGTTAATGTATAAGCTGGGTTGGTACCTCTGACTATAGTATACATTATGAGGATTGAATTTGGTATGCAGGGTTCATTCATTGCTTTGAAGATGACCTGGAAGGTGCACAACCCATAGCCATAAGAATCATCCACAAATAAACACAGAGGATGGATGAACTATTTTCTCAAGTACAGTACCTCATGGAGATATGGCCGAGGCAACTGACCGTGTGATAAGATGTCGTCTGTATAATTGTTATTGTTTTCTCGGTGATCATAGCTTTTACCTTGTACTGTTGATTTTTCTCTTAGCAAGTTTGGCTTTTACTGTCATCCATTGCCACGTGTATTAATAAACCATATTATACACAGCAGAATCCTATTTCTGGGTACTGGTATAAGATTTTTTTTTAATATACAGTGCATAACATTATCATACAGGTATGTCCATATTACATAAAGTTATGTCATTACAACTGAGTGTAAGTGATTCTCTCACACATGAAATTGAGCTGGATATATATTTATATTGTTCTCAAACACATGATTATTAAGCATGGAATAATTTATTATCAACCATTATTATATGCTAATATACATCCTTCTGATTCTGGCTACTATACACTGCATGATACAACCAGAATAACACAATACGGATGCTTCATTGAACATATAAAGCACTGGATCTCTTTTCTAAGATACTTATTAAACAGACACAAATCTGTAGCACCTGTTGTCACAAAAGGTGTAGCCATATTTATACCACTACCATATTATTGTTATCAATGAAATACTGTACAGTACCAGGATTATGTCGAGGTATACGCAACATATTACTGTTATGTGATAATGCAAGACGTGTGTGTGTGTGAACTTTGCCACATGCACCAGCTAGTTATATACTGTCTCTTTATATACACATATACTATTGCAAATTTATCCAATTATGTATTGCAAATGTATCCAATTATGTATTAACCCATTAAAGAACCATATACTGTATATTCTACACACAACTAAGAAAGATATACTGTACTGTATATTGGGACAATAGATATAGAATTATCATAGTAATATAATTATGGTAACATTGTCTTACAGGTGGAGCAGGCCTACCAATACATGCCGATAACCACAGATGTAAGCTTTACGTCTTCACCCAATGTTTCATATTCTTTCGGATGCCTGGGGGTCTCTATACTATACTCTTATGTGGACTGGCTGTACATTAGCCAATACCATAGGATGTATTTTTTTACCCCAACTTACATCATGCTTTGGAGCACACTCAGCAACAATAACATGGAATTTTCTCCGTCTCGCAGCTTTGGTGAGGAAAGCTAAAACCATTGGACACATTCCACAAGTCATGATCACTTCATCACTGTGGATCTTGCTCTCTCCTTGCAGTGCTATCAATTCCTGGCTGAAAATGAAAATTGAGTTACTTCCTTCAACAAATCTGTGAAAGTGTACCTGTACAATATCTTAATACATGGTTACAACAGTTCGTATATCACAGATAGAGACATACCCCTGTACAGGTAAATTTACCTCTGCTCAACTTCAGCTTTGTGTTCAGCAACAGCCTCAAGTATTCTGTCTTGAAGTTCTGGTATGACATCTGTACATTCTGGGAGGTCACCACTGGCTGGGTCAACAAACATCATCTGTGAGAAACCTTGATACCCTCCTCCATCACTGGCTCCCCGGCAGGTGTTGTATTCGTCAATCACTATCTATTGGGGTAATCATTACATTTTAAATGATCTAATATTAGTGCATGTTAAATATTTCTCATTTTGCCACAGATTTTTCTTTTTTACTCTCTTAATTCTATTCCACTATCAATGTAGGTTGACCAGAATGAAGAGTACGGTATTTAAATATAATTACATACCACATACAGTACTCACACACACATGCTTTCTTCATTTGTTGTCATACTATTATTTGTAATACAGTACAATAACACAGTAATAATTTGTTGGGTCTCCCACAACATGGCCCTAAATCTGATTTACCTGAGGCACATCACACAAGCCAACATAGCCCATCAGACATACATCCTTACCACAAACACACTTAATGCCAATTTTTTTCTGTTGCTTCCAATTTGTTCCTTCCTCATGTATTCAGAGTCCATGCTTCTGACCTACAAAAAACTGCTGACTCAACAATACCCCTGTACAGTACAATACATCCCCATCTCAGCCTCATAAGATACAGTTCTCCTTCTCCAGACACTTCTCGGTCCATCTATTACCTTTATCCTTCCACCATTCTGAGGTTCACTTCAGCTCTCATCAATACATCTGCTGATATATCCACTCCATTTTATCTTCATCAGAAATTTGGATGATAACAGATGCATTTGAGCCAGACTGTTTCCCTATGAGAAAAAATGCTGACTGGCAAATAAAGGATTACTGTAAATGATGAAAGGGTGTATGCTAATATTGTTATAGTATATATTATAAAGCTGATTAAAAAATTACAAAGGGATGAAAACCAAAGAAGTAGAAGTGACCTTATGTGAATAGATGAAGCAGAAAATTGTAAACATAACCCTGAAGATGGAGTCTTGTAAAGACAAAAGCTCAGAAAAAGAAAGAGGTCATTTAAAAAGTATAAGGGAGGGATAGATGAGAGCCAAATATTCAATAGGAATGAAACCGAAGGTGCCCAAGATATGTAATGTCTGCACGGGATACTTTGCTACTCTCCTGTAAAATGGTGATCTAAAATAATAAATGCAGATATGATACTAAATGACTAAAAACACTACGGCCTTTCCTCTACATACAGTAGTACATGGTAACAACAATAATTTTGCACTTACTTTTATGACACGTTGTACCATATTACAGGGTGTAGTTTCCCAAGGCATTTTGGCTCTCACAGCAGTCACTACATTACGAAGCAAGTTAAGTAGCTCACTGGAAGGAAAGTAGAATTAATATCAACACATCATACGACTACTGGGCCATGAAAATGTTTGTTATTCAATCAATCTGAGTACTGTACTGTCCTCATATTTGACAGTTGGTGACCACAGTCCTCCACTCTAGATGTTCTTGGACTGTTTTTACCAATCCTCAAGGTTTTGTATCTCTCTGAGGACCCAGTTATTAATTTTATCCCCCCTACCCTTAACTTTGCCCATTAATATTTCTATTATTTTCCCCTCATATCTAAGTATTAAAGAGTACTGTACTAATATGAGTCATTTTCAAGGACACTACAGTATTTACTTTATGAAAGGAATAGATTTGGTTGTTCTGAAAAATCAGATTATGGCTGCAGTCACCCCAATCAAAATGGAGAAGATAATGTGAATAAGGATGGAGACTGAATAGCATTTAGAAAATCTACATAGTTAAAGTATACTGTAACTATACTTTAGTTAGTATCTACTGAAAAAATATTTATTAGTGGTCATTTTTTTTTAAGTATTAAAAAAGTCACCATTCTTACAGTACTGTACTGCATAACCTCATAACCACACACTAAAAAAAATCTGTAAAGTCTATAAATTCAAAGTGGTTTTCTGACATACAGTACCCTGCTATAAATTAAAATGCTGACAGGGGTTAGAAATAATTAATTGGCTATGTGCTAATTATGTCCCTAATTCAATAAAATTTTGGAACTGCATGTCTTAATCAAAGACATAATGTTTAAGTTTGTAAAATAATGAACTTCATAAACGCTTAAGTGCACTTGTCTCCACTTCTCCTTCTAATAATAAGCACAGTAACATTGATACTTTTATCTCTATGGAATGTTAAATACATATTTACACTGGATTTTTTCTTTTCACTTACTCTATCTCCAACCAAAGTCAAAACATGATAACAGTAATCTTGAGACTTATGAATTATGCTGGATCTGTCACCACTTACCTTGCAGTCTTCCACTCAGAGTTAGCCACAACATGTTCTAGTAGCACGAGACTCTCCTCTGCCTTAGCTTGTTCCGATTCAAATTTCCTTAAAGAGAAAGTGTATACTATAAGGCTAAGTCTTGAAAGCCATTTCTATGAAAATAAACATTCCATTGCAGGTTATCAAACATCATCATTAACTCGAATATGCTGGATAGCTTCAAACAAAGGTTGGGAGAATGAGTGATAAGGGTTGGGTGTAAATGGGACTGCCCAGTATGGGCCAATAGGCCTACTGCAGTTTCCTCCATTCTGATGTTTTTATGTTCTTAGTACAGCACCGAATATAGTACAGGGTATTGGATTAGCTGTCAAGGGCATGACTACTTTTTTCTGGAAATAAATGAAAAATACAGTATCAATTCCTACTGGTACCTGTACAAGTACTATTAAAATCTTTATTTATCATCATCATTATCACTATTTTATGGCTATTTCCACACTTGCATAGGTTAACTGTGATTACCAGATGGTAGTTCCTCATGCTGCTTGGAGTCCTGCAGCCTCTCATATAAGGTTCTTATCTCTGTGGTCATTTCTTATAACCTCTCGCTCTGTTATTCTTGGCCTACCCCAAGCTCTCCTCTTCTCCATATTCAGACTAATGCAGCGCTGCCATTTTTCGGAATTTCATCTGCTAGCTATGAATACAATTCAACATTAGTGACGCATTTGTAATTTTACACGTCACTTCTTGAAATATTTGGAATGATTTCAAGTTTTCTAAATACAGTACAACAATTTTTACACCAAACACTTAATAATTATTTTACAAGATATTTTTATTAATTTACTTATCTAGACTATTGTGTCTTATGAATTTATGCGTAAAAATGACATGTAACCTAGCCATACAATTAAAAACACAGTCTGTCAATACAGCTGCCACACCTATATCCAGTGTGATTTTTGGCATATGGCTGCTATACCAGTATCCACTACGTTAAAATTACAACCCATCGTTTCTTAGATTTGGATTACTGAATACAGAAACTGGAAAATTAAAATTTGGAAGAATGGGGAACAACCCTTAATATTGTGAACCTCAACAATTTCTTGTCTCTAACATGACTAAATGTCTTTAAACCCTGACAGGCTAGACTCACACTATTGGTGATGGTCGTCTGTATAAGCAGCTGTATTATCATGCCAATGCCTATATTAGCTTTCAGTATATCTTTGGTATTATTTTACTTTCGAACATAGTGCTCCCAAAAGTTATAAACTACTGAAACATTTAGATCTCCCCATTCTGAGCATTTTGAACCCCATATATACCAGACGGAAATGGATAATAACATCACAATTAAATTCAATTGATTTTACGTAGTTTTCAGTCTTCGTCTGTGAGGAGATGTCATCGGCGCATCAAGCATGCGCAATATTAACTGATGTCATCAGGTCGTGACCAATGATGTATCGATATCATCACACAAACTTTTTCCGACCAATCACACATGATTTTTTTTCAAAGGAAGCAACCTGGGTACAGATTTTAATTTCATTGACCAGTCTCACAATGGCCGTGGTGGAGGTTGGTTGTCATTTGTGCTCCTACGATGATTTTAAGTTTATTGCCGAGTTTCACGAGAAAGACGATCATTCTATCCAATTCTTACCTATCCCTGGTCCTTCCACTTCTAACTAAGGTATTGTACTTTTAGACATGGCACGCCCCAAAGTTTTAAATACTGAAACATTTAGGTTAGTTTAATCTAGGCCTACCAGGGGTCCGGGGGGCGGAGCCCCCGGCTAGGGGTTAGGTTTTTGGTTAGATAACTCGTTTTCGTTTTCTCCACCACCCGAAAACCCAGATTTCCCCAGGCTCTCCCCCATTATTGTTGGGGGAGGGGGCGGTATAAAAGATTAATTTCCGCCAAAAATGAAGGTCAGATGGTGTTTAAAACACACCAAAATACACTGGAAAAACATATTGGTCAACACATAGGGACTCATGTCCGAAAGTAATAATTCACCATATCTTTTAACATTACTTACTCAAATCGAAGCTTTTCAATAAAAGCTTCTTCAGATATCGGGGCCATGACGCCGTGTGAGCCTCCCTGGTGCAGCACTGGACTGTAAACAAACAATAGATCAGCTGTAGCCCAACACTTACCTTTTCAGTGGAATAAAATCCCCACAATACAGTACATACAATGTATTTACAAAAATAAAATGATCTTTTTAATAAAATACAAAATTTACAATATAATTATATACTCAAAATTATAAAATACAGATATTAGTTGCTAATGTAACTCGGTTATCATCGTAAATAAACAGTCAATTCAACTGTACTTGACTCTAAATACCTTTACCACTGAATATTTTACTTGGAGACAGTCACAGGAGCAAAACTAGCTTGTGCAACAAATAAAAATGTTGCTTCACCAATCATTCAAAGAAAATAGAAATGCTAATGTTGGAGAATTTACATATACAGTAAAATAGTCATACAAATTCATATTCATTAAACACATTGTACAGTGTGCAGGTATATAATGAGTATAATGATACTTTTGTATTATCTTCGCCACTGATTGGCTCGTCAACCGCTTTCCCAGTCGGTCACGTCTCTGTTATGTACTGTTGGCAAGTACTGGGCATGTACTGGCTCCAGAATGTATCTGTACCTGCGCCAGCGATGGTCATGTCCGGTCTTGAATGAGCTCACACTTGGTGCCGTCACAATGCTCTCTGGTAGATTGTTCCAAGGGTTTACAATTCTCACTCCGAAAAGGTTTGCCCTGATAATTTTCTGAACTTGTGACTTCGGTTCTTCAATCTTAAGTTGTAACTCGTAGTAGGGTCAATTAAGTCACCCCTTGGCCGCCTATAGTATATGCTAAGCAATTGCAGGCGTTCTAATCTCTGGGTAACTGGGGTGCCGTAGTACAGGCGCAAGTCTGGGGCCCTCCTTTGGACATTTTCAATCAACTGACCGTCTCTAGCATATCTCAGGGAGGAGACCAGGGCCCAAACAGGGAAACATCTCACTCTTGAAGAGCGTTACTAGGGAGGGAGTGTCTCGATATCTGAACGACCTTATAAGACCGACTTACTAGCTTCAGTTCTCTGACAAAATACAAGGCTCAGGTCCTTTTCACATTCAGTCTCGGTTAATACTGTTTCTTCGTCCCGTTGGGACATGTGATACGCCTCCTTACTGTTAGTACGACCGAGGTGCACCCTTTTACACTTCGTGACATTAAGTCTTAACAGCCATTCCTTCGACCGCTCCTGAAGTTGACGTCTCCATTCTGTAGCTCTTCACCGTCAATTTGGTCCCCAATTTCCCTGAATAACTTGGCATGGTCCACAAACATTTGTGAGGACTAATAAGTGGCAAAGAAGTGACAATGTTATATATATATATATATATATATATATATATATATATATATATATATATATATATATATATATATATATATATATATATATATATATATGGGAAAGAAGAAAACACGGTTCCCAAGCGCTGTTCATCAGCATATACCTGGATCACGCGTGATTTACATGTATATATATATATATATATATATATATATATATATATATATATATATATATATATATATATATATATATATATACATATTGAAGCTGATGATAATCGTATCTTCGGTGTATTTAGCCTATAAAACCGACGACTGTCATCAGGGCTGACCCGAGGATAAAAGGGGCCCAGGTCAAGGATCAATTTTAGGGGCCCTTCTGGTACTTTGACACTTTTTACATGTTACTACCCATACAATCTGATTTGCTCACATTTCAGAGATTTTATTTTGTATTTATTTTATTTTTTGCAGAGATAGAAATGTAAAAATTAAACAAAGGACCAACAGACAATATTATCTATTATACTCGATGCAGCTTACACTAGCAATTTATTCATCTAAATAATGAATATGCATGCTTGTACGAACAGATGATAATGAAAAGTATAATGTGTAAGACAACTTAAACAACATAACACTGTACAAGCAAAGTAAAACCTTTTGGGTTTTCTGACATGCAAACACATGTATAGTATTTGATAACTCCAAACCACGCAATATATCAAATATATCAATATGTAACCACACTTCACCAATCATATCCAGTCAACTAAAAACATAGAGGTCATGATGCCCCTTAGCCGATAACCTGCATAATCGTGGCAGCCTGCAGCAGATTACAGGTACCGCTAGGTGAGGCAGGGCGCGCAATTGCCACAACACGCCAGCACCAGGAAAATACCGCCCAAAACTGTAAGCAGCGGCAGGATATTTTGATGTTATTGTTTCATGGAAGTTTAAATTAGTTAAGTGGAAACCTCGGTGGTGACACTACCAGACGTTAAATCGTAAGACGGTGCTTCGTGGTTACTAGCTAACACGCATACACACAGCAGTCCAGTATAGTCTCTAGTCTAGCTCTAGACGAGTCTAGAGTAATGCTGCCCTGCTGGGTGCGTTAGTAACCCACCAGGATAAATTCAGTCAGAGGCTTACGGTTGGCGCTGTTAAGTTTTAATGCTTCAGTATATTATATATTAAGTCATGATGATCTTGGTGCTATCTTTATCACAGTTTTTAGTAAAATAGAGGTGTAAGATAGGAGGCGGCGTATTGGGGAGTGCGTGTGCAGGAAGGGTGGGAAAGGAGGCACCGTGGTGGTGTTGCAGACTGGAGGATGTGTCGAGCAGGAGGGGTGCTCCTGACGGTGGTGGTCGTCTACTGTGTGTTGCTCTCCCTCCTACTGTTGGGTAAGTTTTGCTTCCTTCACCATTGACGTACCGCTTTTGTAGTATTGTGTGTTCTTATTAAATACCCAAATGTGTTTATTCGTGTTTCCCGGAAATTCTGGTCCGCCAACCAAACATCAACTCACTTTATTTAACTTTCATAACCTTGTACGCGAAATACACGTTCATAACTTCATTAGGGGTGGCTAAGTTACTTTTGGTTTGTTTTAACGCATTTTTCATTGTTTATAAATCTTTAAGTTACAGTTGCCTTTGCTTAGAAAGTTTAAGGGATGACGCAAAACTTATAATAGAAAAAAGTATGACAGGTGCTACACAGATTCTTGGAATATAGTAAGATGTCACATTTTGGGCCCACTTCTTACCTGAAGATACGGATGATATATTACAAAATATAACATATGAATGCTTCATTGTTCCACCTGAATACAGCCAATACAACAGTTTGCCACACTTCAGTATAAAGAGTGAATTGGAAAGCACACCAGCCATGGATTAGCCTGACAGAGAACGATGAATCAGTCTACAGTGTGCAGTGTGCTGTACGTGTGGCAGGTTCAGTATCTATTATATAATAAAAATCATCTCTCGTTTTCTTGGCAGGATATTCACAGTTCACACAGAGTGATACTACAAGATGGTTAGGATTACCACTAAGTTCTTCTAAAATTAAAGACACAGTAAGTTTATTGTTGTCATTGTCCGACAAAGTAAAATATATCTTTGTATTTTACATCTTATGAATGGAAATTTAAAAATAATATAAACATATAAAGGCTGTAACTATATCATATCTATTCGTTTATATTCTGAACGTGAAGTATTAACGGTTAAAATAAATGATTCTGGACATACTTTGATATAATTATCATGTGTATGGCTTTAAATTCGCCAGGAAAACAATGCAAAACCTGGCCGATGAAAATGTGAAAAAAGGCGTAGAATTAAAGGTACAAACAGCAGAGGCAAGTAAAAAGTTTAGAATGACGCGTAAACTGAAATATATCTATTTTTGTTTAAATAGTTTGTAATCTTCGTGAATGATAGATAATTCTTCCAGTGAAATTCTTTTGCTCTTCATGGCTATATGGCTGAAGGAGAAACTTAAGCCTCTATTAAAGCATTTCGCATAATTGGTTCCACAGTAGCAAACATCCTTGATGAAACTACGTGAGTGAAATTACTTGTACTCTACGTAAACAACCGAGACTCGGTAATCTTGTTTTCCTGCTCATTACCCAATCACCTGACAAGATTATTCACAATAGATTATCTATTTTTTGTTTTGTTTCTTACTTCATCTCCCCTCCTGTATACTGATATACATTATATATGCCAGTGTGCCCTTCCAAAGTTGCCTATACTGTAGTTCAGCAAGACTTATCTCGCCTCCAGGGAATTTTCGAATCCACTCTAGATATGTCAAATAATTATACATGCATCCACTAGTTATATAATCACAACTACACCCATTTGCTATAATTCTTGTCATCCTTTATTGTATTCAGACAGCAGCAACCATGAAGGAGATGGTGCTGGTGGCATTAGTGATGGGAGGCGATGGACCAGGGGGACCGGGCACCTCCCAACTAACTCACACACCCCACCACCTCCCAGGACTCTCGCGCAAGTACCAGACTACACCCACAATGAAGAACTTACACCCAATTTAAAACCAAACTTAGAGAATTTAGACAAAGTTGAAAAAGTTGAGGACTTTGTTGACCTATTGCACACAAAAAAATCTCATGAATACGGTGACAATGGTATGTCACGGGATGAAGGGAATGATATTGATTATTATGATGATGATGATGATGATGCAGAACAGAAAAACATAGATTATAACTGGTATGAGGATAATTACAAGAAATATAAAGGATATGTGAAGCATATTATGTTTTCCGACTTGTATCAGCCAGGGTACGTTATTGAGAATGGAGGACTGTGTAAGGAAAACTCCCAAATATTTGTTTTTATCAATTCTCGAGTGAATAATACATATAATCGTCATAAGATACGGGAAACATATTTAAAAAAGTTAATTGAACACACAATTCCTTATGGTTTCCTCATTTCAAAGCCAGAGGGAAAGATAGCCATGCAGTTACTAAAGGCTGAGAACGACAAGTTTGGGGACGTGGTGGTGACAGGGAGCGAGGAGTCGTACTTCAACCTAACACTCAAGACAGCCCACTTACTCCACTGGGCTGCCACTAACTGTCTCTCTAGTACCTACATCGTCAAGGTCGACGACGATGTCTACGTAAATGTGGAGATGCTCCTGCATGTGTTGTCTGTCCCCAGGAACTACACTATCCTGGGCAAGGTAAGTGCGGATGGATGGTACTTGGACTACAATTCCTCCTAAAATGCAATCCACTGTACTCTTCGACAATATGGAAACATTAACTGTCGTCACATCTCGGCTATAAACCTCCATTAACTATAATCTAGTACAGTACTTTAGTTTAGTGGTTCCCAAACGTTTTAACATGACTCCCCCTTTTGCTTTTTGCGAAGTCCTCACCCTCCCCCCTTTTATTTTTGTATGTAAAATCTACATAGAATTTATTTTTTATAATAATTATATTTTAGTATTGTTGAGGATCAGATAACACCTTGTGAAAGATACGAGTAGTGTGAGTCAGTATGGTATCATGACAGGTACAAGACGCGTAAGGAGAGTGATGAAATGATAGAAGACGGATAGGGGTGACTGCTATACTTTAGTTTTGCACGGATATGTGGAAGATTCAAACAGAGAGATTCAAACGGAGAGAGAGTTACTCCTGAAAGAGCTTCTTCATTATATTCTTTTTGAGCAAAAAAATGCAACTTTTGGCGGTTGGCTTCACGCCTCCTCTGTACCCACCTCACGCCCCCCACTTTGGGAACCATTACGAGTCTAGTTGATACTCTCTTGAAATACTATTACTGACACCCCTCTGAGAGCTATCCCAGAGAGACCATCATTCCGCATGACAAGTTTGAAGAGTTAGGTCGAAATTACCAGAGCAAGTGAATTACACACACGGGGACAATGTAGGCTTATGGGCACATTAGGATACAAGTCGTAAGATGCTAATAACAAGATTTTCTTACACCATTTAATTTCTTTCATATTAAAACACACATTCAGCATCAGTACTGTCAGTGACTAGTTTTACTATTTTTGTAGTGTTGTAAACTACTGTACTGGATTATCTTTTCTTTAATTTTCAGGATAAATTTCATGTTTCTGAATAAGAACAGGAACATTGGTAAGATATGATTTAGCTTATCATTTCCATACCTCAAAAAAAAATTATGTACTGGCTCCTTGTTAGAGTTAATGACACAACTCGCCCTATAACAGCTGGGATTTTTTAGGGGGGGCCGTGGCGTAGCTAGAGTGTGTGCCGCCCGGGGCGGCCCTCGAGTTTGCCCCTCCCCCCCCGTGCCCCCACAAAAAATACATATTGCACAGTGACTCACTCTTATATATATATATATATATATATATATATATATATATATATATATATATATATATATATATATATATATATATATTAAATAGTTTGTGTACCATTATAATATTACTGTACTTTCACATACTCAAATATAGTATGCTTTAAATACACACCAAACATACTTAAACTTTATAAGTAACAGTTAAACAAAAAGCAAAAACGACATATAGGATAGGGAAAAAAGTAAAAGTGTAAAAAATTAGGACCATCTATATTTCTGAAATGAAAACTACAACTTTCTACAAAGTAACTTTTCTTGTTTTTTTGTTGGCAAATTCTTCAATGACATTGTCAAAAACTATTTCATCTGTCAATTGTCGCTCTATAGACAGTATGGCAAGATTTCTCAACCGCAAGGTGCTCATAGTAGATCTTAAGTAATTCTTGATCAGTTTTAGTTTCGAAAAACTCCTCTCACAGGTAGCAACACTAACAGCAATTGTGAGGAAAATCCTCAGCATTATTACTATATTTGGAACCGAGTTCCCAAGATTATACTTTTGAATAAACTGCAAAAGTTCAAGGGGGCCTTCTTTCCACGTCTGTATTCTGTCTTTAATAGTTATAGCAGCAACAGCAACAAAATGCTGAAGTCTTTTTTTCTCAACGAGGAACTCCTCTTTATCAATGTCGTCGTGATCGTGATCTATTTGACCCAAAGTGCCGCCCCCCAAAAGTGCCCGGGGCGGGCCGCCCCCCCCTAGCTACGCTAGTGGGTGGGGGGAGGGCTATAAGCCCACCTCGAGGATTTTTTTTTTTAAATTTGACCATTTTGAAGCCATGTGCACTTGATATTAGGAGATATTCCAAAGTCAATAGTAATTACTTTTTACTTTACAAACATATATGGAAGTTTAAAAAGGTGTGACCCGGCAGGTGTGTACTTCCTGTGTGCCATTCCGGGGTGCCCCATTGTCGCTGGGAAAAGCACTACGGTTCTTCTCCAACGTGGCGACCACCCGACACATGCCCCTTACTGCCTTCCCACCCTTTGCCATGGGTCCATCCTACGTCATCACACCTGGTGAGTATCGTCCTCACCGTTCAACACTCACCCTTTCTCAATACTTTTAACTTCCAAACATAAAGGATTTAGAATTGATGTTACTTCATCAACAGACATGATTCCACTGTTGATGGAGGCGGCGCAGCAGATGGTCCACTTCAGTTACGAAGATGTGTTCTGGACAGGCTTGGCAGTTGAGGTGGTGAACGGAGAGAGTGGGCTGAATATAGGTGTGCCGAAAGACCCGAAAAGCATCAAGGAGAAATATGTAAGAATGGTGCGAGGTCGTACCCCCATTACTAAGGTGCAGCGACGGGATGTGCCTGGCTGGCGAATGGACCTCAGGCCCTCGGAATCACTGCAGGCCTCCCTGGAGAAGGCCCGCCATGCAGTTATTGTTCATAATGTTCAATGGTACAAGGACAAACAATTTATATTGGCCTTGCAGAATATCAACACAACTGACTAGATCTTGAAGTCAAATTCTAGTTAGACAATTTCCAAAGTGCATTCTTTAAGCTTTTAGAGGAAAATACACATACCAGGTACTCCTCATCTTATGACCTACTTGACGTACGACCACCCAGACATACGACCGCCGCACTCGTATAAAATATTTTTCAAAATTACGTATTTTCGAGTCCCAACGTTAGTGATTGCACTGTGTACTGACAAAATTTTCGTTTGTAATTCCCTTTTAAATGGCTGGCAAGCATAAAAGTGAGAGTTCTCGTGGTGCCGAGAAGAAAAAGAGACACCCATTTTAGGTTTTCTCTGTATTATTTTCGCCTTTTTGACTTACGACCTGGTCGTCGCTCCGGAACCCCTTTGTAAGTCGAGGAGAGACTGTATATGAAATACATACATTACGGACCTCCATATCCTCTTCACAATCCACATTATTTTAGATTAATTCTTCCATTTCTATGGAACGGTTATGTAATACTTATACTCGGATGATAGTCCAGGAACCAGGTGAGATTTTATCAGCATGTCTAATACAATAGGTTTGGGATGCTAGGTGTACAGAAGTGCCCTTCCTGGGCCTCTAAAGCCAATTGTTAAGGTTTGCCAATACAATACTGTACTGTATATAGGGAGGGGGGCCACCATTTAAATATCCCCCCAAATGGTTTCAATCAACATAGGGAGTACAAACACCATTCATCAACCAACAGAAGGCTGTATTGTACACTGCAAATGAATGACTAAAATTAAATCTCTAAACTAGGCTAGAAATAGAATTTTGAGAATACAGTATTGGATACAGTGCATGCAATAATGAATCCCCCCTCCCCTCCCCCTACACCTTGCGGATGGCGTGATATTGTGCAACCAAAGAGGGATTTTATCAACATTAGAGTATTTTTAGGATAATTTACATAGTAATGGAAAATAGAGACATTTAGTTATATATAAAAATTTTCTGACCTATGTTCTTTAACATGACCCTTCTTAAGAATGGAATTTCTGGTATAAAATCCAGTTAAGAATGACTAATTATTTATAATTACACTTTTAATAAACATCTTGAATACAAGTTGTAAAACCAGAACAATAATGTAGCCTAGGGTCACCAGATTCAGGATTAACAACTTAATTAATTAAGAATGAAAACTCTAGTGTAAAAGGTGTTGAAGAACAGGTCAAAGGTCAAGACAATGCACTGATGTACAGCCAATTAAAAAATTATCGAGACCCCAGGGTACGATGGAGTAGAAAATGAGCTATAACCCGAGATGCATTCATGTATAGGTTGGGTTAGTCTTCACTCAATGTTTCATATTGTTTTAGACGACTGGGTTGGTTGTGCAACAGAAATGCCTAGACAATAGAAATTTCTCTACTGGCAGATGCCTGACCCACCTGAAGTCACAACTTAAGGTTGAAGCAGCCACAAGTTCAGGTCAAGACAAACTTTTTCGGAGTGAGTTGTGAATTCTTTGAAATTGGGAAAAAAGCGCGAAACCAAGGCATTATGGAGTTTAGTAATGATCAGTTGCTTTTCTTGATCTTTTCTGATAATGAACATTATATGTTTGCATAAAGTGCTTGTCACGTAAAGTGATGGTACGGTAGTGTGGGTGTGTTGACAATGTGCGTGTAGTGATGTTACCTGTGTGGTGAGAGGTTCAGGTGTGGTCAAGTGATGGCAGTGTGAATGTGGTGGTTATGTTACGATGGCAAGGATGTACCTAATACAGTAATTGATAATCAGTCAATTTGACCAAGGACAGCTGACAAAGTCATGAAAGGCTTGTTTCCAGTCGAGTCCTTATGCCAGCAGCATCTCGTTTTCTTAGGGCCAGGCGGTCACTCATCCAAGTATCTATTGTCAGCCTACATGCCAGTCAGGTAGTCGTTCAGTTTTCTGTTGATCTTTATTGGCAAGTACTAGAAGTGTAAGGGTTCTTGAATTTACCTGAACATCTGCCAGTGTTGGCCAAATCTGGACTTACTGAAGTTCACACTTAGTGCTGATACAATATTCTCTGGCAAGGGTGTGGTGATTGGGTAGGTGTATTATTAATGCAGGTTCAGGTGTTGTACATTGTGAAGGACGGCATAAAGAAGATGTGTGGTGAGGTGGTGAGGTAGTTTGGTATCCAAGGAATGATGTGTTTATTCTATAGTCTTAATCTCACTGTCTGTTGTAACATAAACCACATCTCTTACACCTTCTAAATTATACCAATTAGTTGAAATGCAGCAATTCATCAAACAATTGAGGAGCTTTATGAAACTTTCTTTGGAGTGTTAAAAATTTCTTTAGTTAACCATTGCCTAATCGTTTTCCTATGTTTTCTGTCACAAAAAATTCAGTACAAACTTTCATAACACATGAATCCAAATATTAACTTCTAAAATTGAAAATGAAAAGCTAAATAATTAATGAAAAGATTAGGATAACATTTGTTTCGGTATCCAGTCAAACTTTTAATAAGTGAATAGCGTACTGTACTGTGACTGGCATTTCAAGCTGAATATGGAAATAACTGTCATTTCTTGTGTAATTGAAAGGATGTGGTGTGATATTAAGATGGGTACTTGATGCTGATAACACTAGGTATCATTACCGCAAGTATTTTACCCGATATTTGTTCCTTACCGAATTTTCTGATGAAAAGAAACGACTGCACCGCTTTCTTCAAGCTACTGCGGGTCTTTACACTCATAACAAACAGAACCAAGGTAAAGTACTTCCTTGTTATATTGTGTTAGGTTTCTATGTTATTTGCTTTGTAGCTTTTAGAAAACTATGCATTTGCAAAAGAATCGGACGGCAGATTCGTGTTCAGCACATCTAAATTACCCTAAAAAATGTTTCTTTGTTGTCGAGCTAGACTGTGCACCAAAACCAATTAAAAATGGTTTTAAAATTAGTGACTCATCCCGCTCCTGAAGGCTTCCCTACATTAGATATTTTCTTCATGTGAGTTCAAGCAGTTCTGATAGATTCTACAAAGTGTTGATGTATGGATATAGACAACAGATACGGTATAGTAGGTGTAATAATGCTTATTTAGCTTTGTTTATTTACAATACAATATACAGTACTGTACAGTACTTAAGAGGTGCTTGTTCAGATACAAAACATAATTTGATATAAAACATAAGATCTTATTCAGATCTTAAACAATCATTCATTTTCATATGGCAGTGTTTGGGTATAATTCAGTTTCAATTTTCTTTTAATAAATTTCCTCAACTGCCTAAGTCTTTCTTTATAAAACATTTATTACAAAGAAGAAACAATGTACGACAAGAAAACTGGATCTGTCATCCAATATATACAGTATATATAAATTCTGCAGTGAAGTTAAAAAAAAAAAAATAACTATAATTTCAACAATAAATTTCATATGATTAAATCCCCTAGTCTTCAATGTACAGTTTGAGAAAAATATGGAAAGTGCATTGGATTTTTTACTTCATATTAACTAATCTTACAATAAAGGGAATCACTCCATGATGATAAAACTTTCAAAACTCTTAATGTAAACCAGATGCCAGTAAGAACACTAATATTTGTAACTATAAAACCAACAGCTTCAAAAATGAAGTGTGGAGCAAAGATTTTCCAGACCATCAAATGTCGCCGCAGGATGAAGGCCGACATGGCTGAGCAAAACATCTGCAAGATACAATGGTTGGGATTGAAGTGTAATCATATAATAGTACCTGTACATGAATTTCAAACATTATCTTCATTAACTATCACTGATGTAGAGCACCCTGCATATTTAAGTACTCCAATTTAAACATAACCCATCCCATATGAATATACTGTAGTCTAAAGTAACACAATAAAACCTAATTAACACTAATCTTCTCAACTCCAAACTATCCTCACCTAATTTAATGTAAACCAACAAAGTTCAATGTGGACTAACACAACCAACCTAATTTAATGTAATCCAACAAAAACTAATTCGAAGCTGATACAACCCATCATCATCAATGTTTTACTGTCACTTTCCATGCCTGCACAGGATAGCTGCAATCACCTAATGGCAGTTCTCAACTCTGCAGAATTTCTTGCAATCACCTAATGGCAGTTCTCAACTCTGCAGAATCTCTTGCAACCACTCTTAGTTGGATGTATATCCCCGAGATCATTCTCATAACCTCTCCCCATGTCATTCTTGGCTTAATCTTAGTTCTCCTCCCCTCCACATCCAAACTCATTCACCTCTTAATCCAATTGTTCTTCTCCATTCACTCCACTTGGTTGAACCATCTCAATCTACCTCTATGCCAAACCTCACCAATACTCTTAAAACCCAAATACTGTACTCTCTTAACTCTGCACAGGGTTTCTTATCTCTCAATATAATATTTGACCGGGTACCCCAATCTCACCATTCTTCAGTTTGATTGAGTCTACATGTCAACCTCTTTAGCTGCTCAAGTTTCACTGCCATAAAACAACACACTTGTTAAGCAGGCTACACACAACTTTCTTTTTCAGCAAAGATAAAGTCCTTTCAATGTCAATAAAGGCAACAACCCTAAACTATTACTAGCCACTCCTGACCCTTGCAACCGAGTTAAACTCGGCACCACCTCCAGCACTGATCATGGTACCTGGGAAGCAGAACCCAGCAACACAACCCAGAGATATAGCCCCAGTATATTGGGAAATATTTATTTCACTGTTGATGTATTGTTTCATTTTAATTCCTATCATTATAAAGGGTTTCTGTCTTATGGAAATTTTCCGTGGCATACACAGTGCAGCACGGCAGTAACCACATGTCTGTGACTCGGGTGGCAAGGCAGGGGCACAACTTGCTGAAGTAATCAAAGATAACAAGATTGAAAAAGATGTATGGAAAGAGTGGATGAGGATAGTGTCAGAAGAGTGACCCAGGATAATGGAGAGGGAAAAAGAGTGACCCAGGATAGTGAAGTGGGCAGAAGAGTGACCCAGGATTGTGGAGTCGACAGATGTGACACAGGAGTGGACAGAAGAGTGACCCAGGATAGTGGAGTGGGCAGAAGAGTGACCCAGGATAGTGGAGTGGGCAGAAGAGTGACCCAGGATAGTGGAGTGGACAGAAGACTGACCCAGGATAGTGGAGTGGGCAGAAGAGTGACCCAGGATAGTGAAGTGGGCAGAAGAGTGATCCAGGATAGTGGAGTGGACAGAAGACTGACCCAGGATAGTGGAGTGGACAGAAGACTGACCCAGGATAGTGGAGTGGACAGAAGACTGACCCAGGATAGTGCGAGTGGGTAGAGATCAGTCCAAACATTATCACAGATAGAAAACAAAAGGGAAAATTAGCATGAAATGTTTTTGGATACCATATGATACAGTCTACACAGATTACACATTACTAATACTTCCATCATCAATTTAAAAGTATTTCCTTTGTTTATGTTCACAGTTCACATCACTTAATAACATACAAAATCCCTAACCCAGTGTTATCAGAATCAAACTTTACAATGAAATATGTGTACTCTTGTCCACAGACACTCTAGTGCTCACTTCCTTTCAAATTCCATTTGCTTTATGATTTTAGAAATATTGTACTGTACCCTGTATTTTCCTAAATAAAAAAAAGGTCAATAATCATGGTTAAAACACAGAAATAAATCAATTTTAAAGTCCTTACCTTTGCAGCATGCAGAAAGGTGTAAGAAAACCCCAGAAATATAAGCGCATCCTCAGCTTTGTCAGGTTCATCAACCAAAAGGAATTCTCCACGCCTTGCTTTCTCACTTTCTAATCTGTTACTGTACATGAAGAAATCAAGAAAATATGAAATTAATTCCTCCAGTTAAATGATATGATAATTATTCTCAGTGTCTGGATTATATACAGATTTAATATACAGTCCAACCCCCAAGTGCATGGATTTTAACCGCATGAAACCCAACTACACTCATCAATGCCATGCAACCCACATTCCAAAGTACACAGGGGTCCCAAGTGTGAGGGCGTAAATTTCCCTATGGCACGGCCGAGTGAGGGAGGGAGAGAGACGAGAGAAAGGAAGTGAACAGAGGAGCTGGCTGTTGATTGGCAGAGTGGCCATTACCAACCAATAAGAGAAGAGGACATCACCAATGACACAAATGACAGTCCCAGTCCTCCTCTCCTCAAGACTCTACAGCGGCTTGCTCTTTCCTGTATTTGAAGTGTTTTTGGTTGCTACAGGTACCATGGCTACCCCACCTACTGCTGTTGGGACTCCAGCACCTGCCCAGCCAGGCAGAAGAGTGAAGTCAATGACCCTGGCATGCAAGGAGATAAAAGACTGGCTGGACAATGGCAAGAAAGTGTTTATTCTTTTTATTTAAGGGCTTATTTCTGTTTTATTATTTACCTTATATAACTCAGGTACACATATTTAACTAAGGGTAACTTCCATAGAGGTTATGTGCAGAAAAAGTGCTTTGAAAGACCAGTTTTGGGTTCATGGTGTGTATCTGGAGGGGTCCCAGAACCATATTTTTTATTTTATTTATATTTTATTTTGTTTTTATGGGGAATAGCCCACCCGGGCACAGGTCATCGACCCACAATGTGGCCTAGGGGGCGAAAAAATAAGAGTAAAAAGAAATTAAAAATAGAAAAGAAAAAGATTATATTAATCTACACCAGGAAGATGCCAGAAAACCAACTTTTTGAAGTGAGACAGATAGTATAAGTATGGAAACACAGAAAAAGGCAGAACATTCCACAGTTTGGATGTGTGAGGAAAGAAGGATGTACTAGAACGGGTTATCCTAGTGTGACCGACATCCGCAGAGAAATGGTGGGCACCACGGGCAAGACGAGTGTTACAAGCCCACGGCCTTGCCGGCGGTACACTGGATGCCAAATCCACCAAACATTGCTCGTTAAAGTACCTGTAAATGAGTGTGAAGCAACATTGCGGCGAAGAGAAAGGAAAGAAAGATTATCAGCTAAAGGAGGAGAGTCAATAAGACAAAATGCCTTTGATTCCACCCTATCTAACAGTTGGACAGAAGAAGAGCCACCCCAGATATGAGAGCAGTACTCCAAGCTAGGACGAAGGAATCACTTATAAACTTGAAGCAACTACTACAGCATTCCAAGCTTTTGGGAGGCAACTTTAGCAATGTTGTGGATGTGTGGCTACCATGACATATTAGAGGAAATGGTGAGGCCTAGCATGTCTATTTTAGAAATTGGCAGAATGATAGCATCCTGAAATGTGCTTGGTGGGAGATCATCTAATTTAGAAAGTGTACTTGGTAAATACAAAGTTTTATTACCACTGAATTTAACCAAGATTCTACCTCCTCATTCAGGGAGGCTCCCAAGTACGCACCGTTCCGTTGGCACCAATTACCCGCGTACTTGGGGGTAGCACTGTACAGTACAGTATATCAAACAAAGACAGCCGATCAGCTGATGAAAATATAGTATCCCCCACACATCACCTGCTAGCAGATAGTATTGTAAATTACTGTAAAGTACACATTAATATTTAATATTTTATTCCTTCCCATAAGGTACAAATAATCCAAATAATCTTAGATTATTCGAGTATTTACTCAAATATTCCAGAATTACTGCACGACTGTATGTATAACTGAGTATGACATACAATACATATAACAGTTCTTTGGTGGTAAAAATTGCTATACTATACTGTACATATAAGGGAGTGCAGTATAGGAGTAGCAGGTACAGTATATGGATTCCCTGTAGCTATTTCTTAGAAAATTAGATCATCAAATATCTTGAGAAATAAAAGCAAGGATACAAAATCTCATTAGCAAATAAAAAGTTATCCAGCAATAAAAAAAGTAATTAATAATAAATTACCTGTTGCTTCGTAGCTTTGGGAATATCACCCCCATGGTGAGTGGTGCCAACAAAACCAACGGTAATGAGAAGCCAAACAATATTTGTGAAGAGAATGTGTTCAATCCAACTAGAAATGCTGGTATAAGATTGCTGCCGCTCCACTCGCCTTCAAACCCCACAAAAGCTGCAGACCAGTGCAAAGAAGGGAATGTTGCTTGATGTCCAGTACTGTAGAAGCCATGAATGCTCAACATAAACCATACACAAGTTGCTGACCAGGATGGCTTCATAATAATACCTAAAACAAGAAAGTATGTTAAGTACTGTACAGCATTCCTGAAAGTCAAACATTAACTCATCTATCTTACCAGCAAGTGATTCACCTTGCATGTTAATTCATAATTAAACACTATTTCAATCTTTCCAGTTAATGAATTATTTGAAACTTGTGAGAGCATTCTGTTAATATATATACTTCCCTGTTTAATATTGATTAAATAACAAAGACTTACTTGAATTGTCAGCAGTCCTCCAGGAAGTAGCAGCTTGGAGGAAAAGGCAGGCTATGGCAGTTAACAGGAGAAATACCACTGCAGGAGCTATACCATCCCCAGCCACCATCACTATCACAACCAGAGTCACTGTTAACACTGTCACTAGTGGAGCTGACACAGCTGTTGCTAACCCATACACTATAGGGATATTTGATCCTTTTTGACCGTCTGATTTGTATTTTTCCACCAAAGTCTGACAAAGTCGGGGTATTAGTGCACTTGGGTTTTCCATCACTGATTGGATATTAGTTTTACTTTTTGATGGTGGCACCTCATATATTAATAAAGGGACTAAATACAAAATCGCTGTATAAATAAGAGCAAGGGCATAACTTATTCTTGGCAGAATCACCACATACTCATTGACCTTTAAGTTGTGTAGTGTGGGTGCTGCTTGTAGTGCCCAGTGACCTGCCACAAGGACCCCACACACAACTGGGACAGAATTATACAAAATGACTCCAAGTCTAGATCCATTCATGTTACCACACATCAACAGCCACCGACGTGGTAACCACACCAGTAAAATTAAGGCAAAGAGGCTAGTAAAGTACCGCCAATTACGCAGACTCTGAGGCAGCCCTGTCATGGGTGTGTGAACTTGGCCTGGAGTACACCACGATTGCTCCTCACGGCACTTCCAGAACCAGGAGCTGAGTCGCACAGAGAAAAATAATACTGACAAGGTCACAATATATAAAATGGAATAGAAATTAATTGATAATTTGAAACTCTTAGTTGAGGATATATTGAAGCCCCTTTTTCTTTGTCTTTTAAACAGTGGTATGAAAAGCTGAATTACTAGACAAGAAATTAAAATAAATGCTACCACATAATTTTCTACAACAACATAACTATTGGAAAAACTTCCAACACACAAAAGAAATGATAACAATAGTGAAATGCTGTCACTTGCATTAATATAAAAACTAGCAGAGGTCATGACCTGCCTATGAAAATATATCCATATTAGTATGAAGAAACTGGCAATATAACCAAGCACTGAAATACTACAATATGGAATGAAGAGAAAAAGAGCATTAACCATAACTGTAAGATACAGTAGCCTAACAGGTATTTTGCTCCTAAGCATGCACTTATAATAGGTAACAACCAACATTAGTGTCAAAACAATAAACATAAGAAGAAGTCCACTCATCATCTCTGACATATTAAACTTGGCCCATACTTCTTCACACATAATTTTTGCAAGTGTTAGGTACTCAGTGTAAACTCTCTTCTGTTCTCTAACTGGAAGCTTTTCAAAGCCTAGTGACATTTTGCTGTGTAGTGACTCTATTCTGTGCCAAAGATCACTGGGAAATACATTTCCTAAGTTTTTATAATCTTTTAGGTATCTTTTGACCTGCTTTACATTCTGTGCTAAAGCAACTAGCTGCCGCTGCTCAGCCTCCTCACCGGTCTGACCAACAGTGACTAATATCCTATCCATAACTTTGCCCAAATTAGAATATGGTATTGGAATTCCAAGAGCAAGAGCAAGTGTTGGAACAAAATCCACTTGAGCAACTGACAGTGGATGTTCATGCTCTGAAACAGAGGGTGTCATATCAAGTGCTGGACTGTACACGAAGAGAGCGGCCTTAAGTTCATCGTCTGAGTCACCACCGTGGTCTCCAGTCCTGGTCATGCCATGATCACCAAACACAAAGAGAACAGTTTCATTCCCAATACCATTTGCCACTTTCCTGAAAATTGAAAACAAGAACATTACAATACTGTACAGTACTCTCCACAAAAAAATATTAAATAAATCTAACAAACAATATCTACATAACCTTAACTCTTAACACCAACAAGCTTATCTTTATCCCCAGAGAAATCTCCCTAATAAAGTGCACAACACAAGAAAAGTATCCACTAACCCTAAGAGTGTTTCATAACCAATCTCCACTAATCCCTTCACTTCTAGACGTCACTTATACTATTATATTTGACCAATGCCAGAAGATTTCATTCAGAAGAGAGACCCCTCATACCTAAGGGGTTTAGGGAAGACAATAGTAATTGGAATGTGAATGATATTTTTTTTCAAATGATAAGATAAACAATGTACAGTACAGGATTCCAGAACAAATATTAGTTTGTGTAAAGGTTTAACTGATCATTTAATGGATGGATAGATAGATAAAGAGCTTTATCAGTAAAATCATTAAACAACTTTACATTGAATCAATGTGTACATATACAAAGCAGATATACAATGCACATAAACAGTTCAAGTATACAAATGATGTATGTATGTATATACTGTACCTGCATGGCCTGTTGCAGCTTCTTTTGTCATGCATTTCTCACCTCTCCCCATGTCATTCTTGGCCGACCCCTACATCTCCTTTCCATTCAAACTCTTGACCTAATTGGTTTCCTTCATTCTCTTCACGCATGCAAACCAACTCAGCATACGTCTACACAAAACTTAGCCAATACTAGCCACCCTCTTAGCTCTGAGCAGGGTTTTGTAGCTCTCAGTCATATTACACCAAAAAGTCATCTATTATGATACAGTATACAAAACAGTATTATTTCCACCTTTTCTACAGTTCCACACATTTCTGTCACTAACAAGAAAAACCTGACACACTAGGAAGAACATATGTAACACACAATAAGCTGCTGAATTTAGCTGGAAACTCAATGCCAGCAGATACAAACACGATGCTGATTTGTTGCTGGCTTGGGTAGGTTCGTCTCCTACTGACCCAGACCCAAGTTACAGTAAATTATTTTTTATCATAATTGTTTTTTCTAGCTGCACTCACCATTTAATTATTATTTTGAGAGAGAGAGAGAGAGAGAGAGAGAGGAATGTGCATAAGTTTGACTTGTAGCAGGAAAAATAATGATAGATCTATGATATTACTAGCAAAGGGAGGGAGGGGGGAAAAAAGAGACATCTGTTCTCTCACCACTGAAAGAGTGAAACAATCCTCATTAATTACTAAGTATTAATATATGATTACACCAGTCATCATCTTCAGTTGAAATCTTTATGTTGAATACTAGCAAGTGTCAAGATTATTCTCCCCGCTTACTTCACCTGATGATTAAACACCCCAAAACTGTATTACCTAAGGAGGGGGGGGAGGAGGGAGGTTAGGTTGGTATTAGGATGTTTATACATTTTTTAAACTTTGTATTTATTTATGGTTCTTTATTATTATTAGTTTTTGTTATGCTTATTTCTATTTATTTTTATATTTTTATTATTATTACTGTTGTTATTATTACTATATTTTTTATTTAATATTATTATATTGTTGCCCCCCAGGCCCTGATGCGGGTCAGTGACCTGTGCCCGAGTGGGCTAATTCCCCCCCTCCCCCCCCCCACCACAAAAAAAAAGTTGGGGGACAAAGTTTACTTAATCCACATATTTGACAATTAATTACCTATTAATATTTTACAAGGGTCATTGTTGTCAATGGGTAATAGCCTAACATGAGCAAAACTTCTGTGAATGCTTATCTTTTCATCATATACCTGCTTGTGATATTTCAATATCTCTGTAAATTTTGGTTTGGAAAAATGTAATACTGTAAATGATACCAACTCTATTATGTAATTCATCTGCTTCAGCTTGGCAGCCATTTCAGGATGATTTGGACCATAGCGATGGCCACAATGATCCACTCCAAGAAAGTGGCCAATGATAACATCCCATTCCTCTTGCATCATCTCTTGCTCCAAATGTTTCTTCACACTATTGTCAACAGAATGCAGATCCATCACATTGAAGGATGGGTAAAGAAATGACTGATTAAACCTGCAGAAGAAGAAAAATTACTGCACAATCATAAAAGTAAATAACTTTTCTTTTTGTCTGGGGCAGAAATGAAAAAATGACATGATTATAATTGATGATGAAGAACTCTATTAAGGTCTTTTCATCCTAGGCGTTCTTTAGAATGTCAAACTTTCACACAACAGACGCCAAAAAGAATAATAATCTCACCTGCCAGGGAACAGTCCTCCCCACGTATCGTCTCCAAGAATAATCACACGTCTTCCACAACTGACCAGTTGATCCACAATGTTGTCTTCTGATATCTCTTCACTGTTAACAGAGACAGCAAAATTATATTCTGGAATTCTGTACTTCTCAAATTGATACTTGACCAGTAGTCTGAGATAAGTGATAAGGAGTCTGAATGAAGGTTCACAGACAGTAGTGAACAAGTACAGTATAGTATGCAAATGGCAAGGTTTGGCCTACTGATGTATATAAGGTCAGCAGTGTGAACAGTGATAATGAATTTTTTAACATTAGCCAGTTCAAACTGAAATTATTAGATGAAATAAGGCAAATAAATAAAAAACAGTAATAAAATTAGAAATAACATGTCATCTGCTTTAGTATCAACAGTGTAGCATCAGTAAATGGGAGAATATAATAGACCATCAATATTCACAAGACTTCTTGAAAAACCCCGTGAATGAAGAAACCGTAAATGTTCAAAACTTGGTACAGTGGGATAGAGGGGGCATGGTTACTGGTACGACTGATCATAGTGGTAAATGTTTTAAGAACAATGACTACAATAAATACTGTACCTGTAATTAATAATAAATTTTAGAATGTAAATGTTTTTTGCTTGCCTTTGATGATGACGATAATGATATGAGGCATTCTGTGTAACAGTGACGATTGCCCCAAATTTACATTTTGAGAAAGCATACACCAACTTACCACTGTAAGAAAAAAGAATTCAAGCGAGCAGTTTTTCTCTCACCAACAAATGTGCTGTAGATGTCCACAACTTCTTTATTATTTAATATGAAGATACTAATTATACATTTATAGTCATTTAATGAAAGAATTTCAAGTACGGTAGTAAATTACAGTACATGTCATGGAATTCAACTTAGTAAACATGGCATGGAGTTTAAATTGATGGTGAAAATTTACCTTATTGTAAAACAAAATAATTAGTAATGGACACACACCATTATTAACTCTGAGTTAGGGATTTACTATATGTACTGTACAGCTCTGTCTTTTCTCCCAGTCCTATTCATTTCTGTACTGTACTCACAGATCTCAAGCCTTCATTTACCTGGCACACAGGAAACTGTATACTCACATGGCCTACCTACACTGTATACATACTGTACAGTACAGTAACTTTATGCAGTTATATAGTTCAGCATGAATATAATAAATTGGTTTACAAACATGCTTATCCAAATGTAAACTTGTATGACAACTTTACTGAATACTGGTAAATATTGTTATTACAGTACAGTGAACCCTCGAAGATCTGGACTTAAAGGGAGAACCACCTGTCCGGAAAAGCGATTGTCAGGATTTTCCAGCGAATAATAAATGATATAAGAAACACCAAAAATACAGTACTAATGAAGTGATAAACAAATTACCTTATAAAAACCATGCATTTACCTATGATAACATAATAAGAAAGATTGTATCATTATTAGAGTGAATGAAATAATATTACCACAAACCACAATTGTCAACTCTGTTATGTTTCCCACCTCCTCGGGCACCTGTGTCCAAGCAACTGCTGGGTAAAGCAGTGCCCACGGGCCTAAAATGTTCTTTGCTCTGGTTTGGGAATGTTTCTTAAGGAAACTTCTAGGAGGCTTCTTAGCCCAGAACCCCCAATTTTTTTGTCCCGATCTTCCGAAATCCGGATTTCCCGTGTCAGGATCTTCGAGGGTTTACTGTACAGTATTATAATTATTAATTTGGTTAGAAAATATACTAACAGGCCTTACAAGCATTGATTCAAATATTTTACATTAATTTATATATCCACCGGTAGCTGCTTGTCCAGTTAAAATAATTACTGTAATCTACAGTACAGTATTCTCACACAAATAATTAAAGCTCTGGTTCACAGGCCTGTAGTCTTCATTGAGAATAAATTCAAACTTAAAAAGTTTTACTGTATAAACAACTATCAAATACTGCACCTGGCAAAGTTGTGACTGACATCAATGAATGTAGGGAGACTACCAGTGGTAAGGCCCTTCAGCCGCTGCATGGTGGTGGTGGGAGCATCAGCAATGAATGGAACAAGGTGAGCTTGCCTGGGTCTGTCCTTAACAAGATTACTGAATATTGGCATTTTGTTCTGATAAGGTAAGGCATCCTCATCCTTCAGGGAGTGATTGTAAATGGCAAAATCATATCTTAAGGCATCAATTAAGAGTACAACAGCTTTTTTGAAGGTGGGGGGCATCCAACACCCATCTTTTGAAGTCTTCCCAATATTGGTTCCATCATTCTTAGTTTCAAAAGGAATTTCTCCCATTTTAAAATCTTCACAGCTTGAATTAAGCATAACAACTTGTCTTGTCAGGAGAAACCCATGGCTAAATATTAACAATCCAACTACCACAAGCTCACTAAAGCACAAAATTAAGATAAAAACTTGTGAACTTCCAAAACCTGCCATCTTCAACAGCTAAGCCAGACCTGTAAAGGAAAAAAACATGTTAGTTACAGTACAACTAAAAGAAATAGCTGATGAAAATCTTCAACGTAGCTAAGCAAAGTTCCACAGATAGCCGTAGCTGTACACTAATATGTGCTATGTGATTCACTTAAATGATTTTAAGGCAGTGAATATTTGTCCAGCACTCTGGTGATAGTCATCGAGCATCCCAGACAGATAATTATTAAGAAATTTTATATATATATATATATATATATATATATATATATATATATATATATATATATATATATATATATATATATATATATATATATATATATATATATATATATATATATATATAGTACTCACCCTGAAGATGTGAATTACACCTAAAGCTTTGGGAACTATATATATACCTAGATCACGCTACAACAGTGATTTACATATATATATATATATATATATATATATATATATATATATATATATATATATATATATATATATATATATATATATATATATATATATATATATATATATATATATATATATATATATATATATATATATATATGAATACAGTAGTTGCTGAAGTTTGACAGATTGAAGTTTATTAATACAAGTACCTGTAATCAATTAAGATTTGTATACAATAGATCATATACACCTCGATGGTCCATCCCTCATAAAGCTCTTCAAAAGCATGTTCCCCCACTTGGAGTACAAAATGTAATGTCAATCTGTTTCATCCCAAGATACTGTATGCTAAAGACTGCCAGTTGATCAAAAATGTCCAAAAGAGATCTACTTAACTAGTGCCTGCACTTAGGACCTCAGGTTCCAAGAGAGAATGTTATGTGGGTTTCTTTCATTGGCAGGTTTTAATTATAGATGTTAATCACTATCTTAGGTTGTATTAGGTTAAATTTAGCTATACAAGTTAAGTTGGTTCAATTCATTAACCAATGTTTCCACAAGAAATTCTGGGGAACTTCTAACACTGCTGAAGTACTAAGTACCAGATACTGCTACATTATATACTGTAATCTAACATTTATAAAATGAAACAAATTAACCTACCTAACCTAAAATACTCGATACAGTATATATCTTCTTTTTCATCTTCTTCAACAGTTCCTTATACAGGTACTGTGTGAAGTTTAACCATTTTTTTTGTAGTTAGGTAAGGTTAGTTAGATTTCTTTGGTTGGTTAGATCATGTTTTATTAGGTTGTAGTATATGTCGCCTCTTTTAAAATACTGTACTGTACTTACCATAAATATAAGAACAGTATGAAATAATTCTTAAAATCCATAAGCTTTTTCTGGTGGCAGCAGTGCTTTCATACATTACCAAAGTTCCTACTATACCCTTTCCACACTAACCTGGCCCGTAGGCCCCACCCCTCTTCTATACTAACAGCTGATTGGTTCATAGAAAATTCAAACTATTGTGTTCACAATTGGTAAGCAGACCTGTTATTATCTAAAATAATGTTAAATATATGGAATATCAAAATGCAAATAATTTTAAGGCATTAGCACTTCAGAGAGGATGTTAGAAAATATAAATATTTACTATTAAAGGTCAATATAAATACGCGCTTATATATGTGCAGTCCAGGGGTAGGTAAAACGCTCAGGGGAACCAATCAGCTATCCATTCTTATGCTAAAGATTCTACTCTTCACTCTTCTTCGCATTTTTCCCTTACCCCTAATTCTCAAACTAGATCTGTTTCTAGAGCCGATATCATTACAACTATCACTGCGGATCTCTGCAGCATCTCCGAATGGGGAGGTAGAAATTTGGTTAAATTCAAGAGTAATAAAACTCAATATTTACCAATTACACTTTCCAAATTAGATGATCTCCCACCAATCGCATTTCAGGACGCTATCATTCTGCCAATTTCTAAAATAGACATGCTAGGCCTCACCATTTCCTCTAATATGTCATGGTAGCCACACATCCTCAACAATGCTAAAGCTGCCTCCCAAAAGCTGGGAATGCTGTACAGATGCCGTAGCTACTTCACTCCTGAGCAGTTGCTTCAAGTATATACAGTATAGGGGATTCATTCGTGCTAACTTGGAGTACTGCTCTCATATCTGGGGTGGCTCTTCTTCTGTCCAACTGTTAGATAGGGTGGAATCAAAGGCATTTTGTCTTATTAACTCTCCTCCTTTAGTTGAAAATCTTTCTTCCCTTTCTCTTCGCCGCAATGTTGCTTCACGCTCACTCTTTTACAGGTACTTTAATGGGCAATGTTCGGTGGATTTGGCATCATGTGTACCGCCGGCAAGGTCATGGGCTCGTAACACTCGTCTAGTCCGCGGTGCCCACCGTTTCTCTGTGGATGTCGGTCACACCAGAATAACCCGTTATAGTACAGCCTTCTTTTCTCACACAGCCAAACTGTGGATTGCTCTGCCTTCTTCTGTGTTTCCATACTCATACAATGTCTCACTTCAGAAAGCTGGTTTTCTAGCATCTTCGTGGTGTAGATTAATATAACCTTTTTCTTTTCTATTTTTTAACTTCTGTTTACTCTTATTATTTTGCACCCAAGGCCCCATTGTGGGTCGATGACCTGTGACCGGGTGGGCTATTCCCCCTAAAAAAAAAGACGAGGGGCGTGGCTTACGAGCCAGCTTAGCGTGGAAATACTATACTAGTTAAGTTAGGTTGGTAACAGAGAAGAGTGAACGTCGAGTATAAAGTGGTATCAGCCAGTTTGGGGGAAAAAAAATCCGTAAAATTATCGTTTCCGTCATGCACCTATTTGGAAGTCATTCAAAACACTACAAAAACCATTGAAAACACAGAATTTCAACCTAACCTACACTTAAAATCCAACAATTCACTGGATGACTGAACCGAGAATAATAAATAAAATAAGAAAGGTTCTTTAGTTATTATTTCGGTAGTGCCCTTACAATAATTATACATTACCTATATTTATTAACTCTTTAAATATCTACTTTATCAATATCATAACATTTCTCAATACTTTCTTTTAACAAATCCTGGTCAACTAAGCCATCATATACGTCAACCATCATCCATACTTCTCCACCAACAAACAACAGTAAAACACAACTCCTTCTAATACATTACCGAATATTACAGGCAGGAGAACAGTCAGAAGATCATCTTGAAGTAAATGTGGAGGCCACCAGAAACCTCCACCATCACCTGTTAGGGAGAGCCAAAGTGAAGCATTATACCGAACCCTCACACTCTCTACTTTAACAGAACAGTCACATATTAAAGTAATAAGACAATATGATAGTTTTTTATATTCGTTATCTATTCCACTAATAAAAAAGAAATCCTGTAATATATTTATCAGAGATTGTGGGTCACTGTTGGAACCAATATTTATATAAAAAGCCTACACAACTCCCCTAACCTAGCTGAATTATTACTTTTATTTACTTTTATCCTCTTCACCGTTAATTGGATCGTTATGACAAATTAATGCCCGAACTAATTGAAATAAATGTGATAACTAAATAAAACATAAAATAGTGTTGATAGAGGAGTTTGGGTCTAGGGGTCCGGAGGTTCGGTTTGGGTTTCATTACAACCGGTAAATAATCTAATGTAAAAATAAATACTAATCAATGGCATAATTAATATCCCTGATTTTCAGTATGTTTATAATTTTCTTGGTATTCCCGTCGATATATAATGTTGGTGTCTCTTTTATTAAATTATTGTCTCTTTTATTAACTCGTCTGGGGTTCGAGTAACGCTTTGGCAGTACACACGTGAGAAGGGTGTAATCCAGTGATGTATTTTGTACGGATAAATTATATAAATTAGTCTAAATAACAGCTTTTGGATGAAATTTCAGACGAATTAGTTTAAATGGTGGTTTAAATTTCTAACTTCTTTCCTCGACCAAGTGAAAGTTAGTGAAGTTGATGAATAATTGAAGGTAGCAAAATAATAATAACAAAAATGTTAACTTTGACTATACAGTATATGGTAGAATTTACATATCTGAGTTGAATATTGTTTATTCATAGAAGCTTAAATAATTATTTTAAAACACTTTATTTGGGCAAAGAATACAAATACTGTACAAGTGAACAAATAACACTGTGTATTGTCTGCGGGTGATTACGTTAGATGGGGTTGGTTTGGTTTGGGCCGAGTCTGGGTTAGGTTAAGTTGGGTTAGGTTAAGTTAGGTCAGGTCTAGTTAGGTAATTTGAGGTTGAGTTAGGTTATATAGTATTGGAAGATTAAGTAAGGTCAGTTTATGTTAGGTTATATGAAGAATGGGTCAGGTTACAATAGTTTAGATTCCGTTAAATTATTTTACATGTTAGGATAAGTTATGTTAGCTAAGGTTATGGGAAGGTCAAATTACGTTGTGTTAAGTTTGTGTTAGGTTAGGTAAAACTAAGGTAGGTTTGGTTAGGTTACATTTCTGCTTAGGCTAGGTTAGGTTTCACATACTTTTATTAGTTACCGGGTGTTCCCGGGTTCGGGAATTAGTGAGTTCTCTGGAAATTGTTATTTCGACGCAGGTAAAGTACATACCTCTGAGGACCTGACAGGTGCAGGAAAAATCGAGAAAGAGGTGAAGGTGGTCGTGGAGGGTCGCCAAGGTGACACAGAGTTAGCGGAAGTTATCCTAGACTTTTGTGAACATGAGTGGTACTGTAGGGGCCAGTGATGACCTGCCTGGGGACCAATCATAACCTTGACGTTGACATTATATATATATATATATATATATATATATATATATATATATATATATATATATATATATATATATATATATATATATACAGTATATATATATTTCAGGTAGATCCACAATGAAAACGTGGATAAGATAAATCTTGATAAAATCACACGGGAAAAAGGAAACAACGGAGCACCTTAGCTTTCGTCTTTATTCAAGACAACATCTTCAGTTGCCTCTGAAGATGTCTTGAATAAAGACGAAAGCTAAGGTGCTCCGTTGTTTCCTTTTTCCCGTGTGATTTTATCAATATATATATATATATATATATATATATATATATATATATATATATATATATATATATATATATATATATATATGGTTATGATTGGTCCCCAGGCAGGTCATTAGCCAAATATACAAAACTACTACAAAACTTACCACCACCAATGATGAAACAACTCGCAGAAATTTTCAATGCCTCATTAGTAGCCAGATTTTTCCCTAATCCCACTCAACACAACAAATAAACAAACAAACAAAAACTACAGGCCGTGCAAAATATAGCCCAGAGAAGAACGGTAAAACACAGACCTTCATATACACACACAGTACATGTTATACACACACAGTACATGTTATACACACACAGTACATGTTATACACACACAACACAAATTGACGCAATCACACGCCCAACAAACGCAATATGGGATAAAATCCAACAAACACAAGACCCATACTACACCAAATAACACGAGACAACAATAACACATCCTACAACTGGTGGCCAAAAAGTATAAAGATCCAACAAGAACCAGATTCACTACCAATATACACACAATAAAGAGAAAGATGCGGACTTTTCCCTCTAAAGACACAAGGACCTGGAGATTCCCCCAAACCAAACACAAGACCCTAAGCTGGCACCATCGATAGCTTAGTTTATAGCTTAGCTTGTCAACCTTGCCCCTGTGGACTTATACTCTCGTCCCCGCCAGGTGAATAGCCCACCTCCTTTCAATCTCCCCCCCTGTACTTCCCTCTTCTAACTTTACCATCCTCTAACATCTTTCTGTATCATCAGAGCCTGTAAGGTTCCGTTCCCTCCACCTAGACCGACCGACCTCACCACTTACCCCAACGACATGACACGGGACAGAGTATACAGTAGTTGCTCTTCACCTACCGAGTACAGCCAGTACCGGACACTCACGACTTCATTACTTTGTTTCTAACGGGTATGTTTTGCTCTTGATTGTTGTAACATATTATGCCTATCTTTGTATATTCACCTGTACGACTTAAGCTTTTGTTAATTGTAGTGTTTTTGCATTGTATAATTAAATGGAAGAAAAGGTTAATAACTCAATGGTTTGTTGGTTCAATGTTTTCTCTCTCTCAATGTACTTAGTGATTTATTTATCTTAATCTATTGTCATATGGATTTTGAGGGTTTTTTCGATGCTCTTGTAATAAATTTTTTGTTGTAGATCTAATGATAAGAGATTTGTCGAAAAGTTACCAAATAAATGTTGCTGTTTATCCATGTGTGTGTGTGTGTAAAAATGTCCTCATAATACCCAGAGAGAGAAAGAGAGGGAGCATTGTCAAAAATTAGATAATCTGTGAGCAAGGCAGCCACGTCGAACTTATGCATCACCAATATTGAAGGGATAAACAAACATGACAGGAGGGATTCTCAAAGGTTCCTACGTTAATATAACTTTCTTCAACCCGAGATGAGAAAATACCCTAAGTTATGATATGGTCTCAAGACAATTTTGTTGCAATATTGTGCCGCAGATAGTTTTTGATGCGATTTTTCACCTCGACATGAAGAAAGAAAAATAATAATTGAATGTTTAAGAATCCATCTTTATTTCTCAGATTTAGTGAACCAGTTAAAAGCGTTCTCACATCTCCGGTTACGAGGAAAATTAACGTCGGTGGCTTTGAGACGATCCTTTGAGAGTTCGTAACAAGAAAAAATATGAAGCGACACTGCAATTTTTTTCCAATATTGTCGTGTGATATGTAGCATGACGTCACTACTAGTGTTAAGTCAGGTGTTGAGTTTCCGATAGTGACTCATGGTGACAGAGGGTACTGCGGTGACTCACAGTAACTGAGGGTGTACTGTAGTGACTCACAGTGACTGGGGGTGTACTGTAGTGACTCAGTGACTGAGGGTGTACTGTAGTGACTCACAGTGACTGAGGGTGTACTGTAGTGACTCAGTGACTGAGGGTGTACTGTAGTGACTCAGTGACTGAATGTGTACTGTAGTGACTCACAGTGACTGGGGGTGGACTGTAGTGACTCACAGTGACTGAGGGTGTACTGTAGTGACTCACAGTGACTGAGGGTGTACTGTAGTGACTCACAGTGACTGAGGGTGTACTGTAGTGACTCACAGAAGACTGAAAATCTCTCTCCCTCTTTCTCTTTGTTTATTGATATTAACTTCCAAATACATTCTTCTCTCGTTATATTCCTCTCACCTCTGACACTTCTCTCACCTGGGTAGAATTGGGGAGAGGAGAGGGAGGAGGGAAGGTGAGAGAGCAGGATGGAGGAGCAAGGAGGAAGGGGGGATAAGGAAGATGGAAGGAAAGGGAGGAAGAACAGGAGGTAGAGGAGAGGGGGTGGGAAAGAGGGAAGAGGGAAGGAGAAGGAAAGAGAAAGAAGAAACTAGGAGAGAGAGAGAGAGAGAGAGAGAGAGAGAGAGAGAGAGAGAGAGAGAGAGAGAGAGAGAGAGAGAGAGAGAGAGAGAGTCCCAGTATCACATGATGTAAAAAGTGGACTGGCACCAAATCAAGGACCACCCACACACACACACACACACACACATGCGTGATTAACTACTATTAAAACTTCTAGATTACTTGACCGGTTCCCACAATATGAGCTATAAGTCCCCCACCAGTTTAATGAGCAACGATCAGCTCCCGAGGTGCCACGGAGAGGACAGTGCCAGGAGGTTTGGTAGTTTGGGATGGCACTCATCTTATATACGTGGTTGAGTATCTTTTTCCATACATACATACATACATACATACATACATACATACATACATACATACATACATACATACATACATACATACATACATACATACAAGTAACATGTAAACATACTTGAATAATAACCTACACGTTTATATAACATACAAAAATATATACCTAACATACACACACACTTATACTTTCATATAACATAGACACATACACGTTCACATAACATACATAGACGTTCACATAACATACATAGACGTTTCACATAGCATACATTCACGTCCACATAGCATACATACACGTTCACATAACATACACAGACGTTCACATAGTATACATACACACATACACGTCCACATAACATACATACACGTTCACATAACATACATAGACGTTCACATAGTATACATACACACATACACGTCCACATAACATACATACACGTTCACATAACATACATAAACGTTCACATAGCATACATACACACGTACACGTCCACATAACATACACACACGTTCACATAACATACATACACGTTCACATAGTATACATACACACATAGTCACATAACATACATACACGTTCACATAACATACA